ATTAAAGGAAAATATAGATATGTCTTTGTGGTTTTGATTAGGCAGCAGTTTCTTAAATACGATACCTAAAGAATAAGCAACCAAAGGGAAAATAGATAAAGTGTATCATCAAAATGTAAAACTTTTGTATGCCAGAGAACATTATCAAGAAAGTAAAAACAGGCCAGGGATTTAGCTCAGTGGTTCCTCTGCGTGCCTTGCAAGCGCAAGGTCCCGAGTTTGATCCCTGGTACCAAAAAAAAAAAAAAGAAAGTAAAAAGAACATCCACACAAAGGGAGAAAAAAGTTCAAATCATATACATTCGACAGGGATCTACTGACTTGACTATATGAAGAGCTTTTACAATTCAGTGGTGAAAAGGGCAATTTAAAAAATGGTAAAGGCTTTGAATAGTTTTTTTTTTTTACTTTGTTTTTTGGGGTTTTGGAGACAGGGTCTCACTATGTAGTCCAGGCTGGGCTTGATCCCACAGTGATCCTTCTGCCTCAGCCTCCCGAGTGCTGGGATCATAGGTGTGCGCCACTACTCCCAGCAGAATAGATATTTCTTTAGAGAAAATGGCCAAGAAACATGAAAAGTTGCTCAACATCATTGGTTGTTAGGAAAATACAAATCAGAATCATGACTAGCACTCATATCCACTAGGATTACCTAGAATTTCTCTTTCAAAGGAATGCAAGTGTTGGCACCCATGTGGAGAGGTGCTGGTGTGAATGTGAAGTGTTTGTGTGCTGTGAGCATCAGGTGTGTCATTGCCATGCCCAGCCATTCTACTCCTAGGTAAGAAATTCAAAAGCCGTATTCACACTAAAATGTGTGCATGGTGTTCATAGCTCCATTTTTCATCATAACCAAAAAGTGGAAAGAACCCAAATGTTCATCAACCTGAATGGGTGAACAAAAGGTGGCCTCCTGTAGGTGAAATCGTTTTCAGAAAGAGAAAGGAATCAGTCCTGACGCATGCAAACAGCACAAATGAACCCTGAAAACATGCTAGTGAAAGAAGCAAGACACAAAAGCCATGTACTGAACCGTTCCATTTACATGCAATGTCCAGATTAACTAAATCCAGACAGGAAGTAGAATCATGGTTTCCGGAATCTGGAGAGAGGGACTAATAGGGAGTGATTGTTAACCAGTATGGTGTTTCTTTTTGGGGGTGATGAAAATATTCTGGACATGAATTATGGAAAGATTTTGACAACCTATGAGTACCCTAAAAACCAATGAATCATAAACATTAAATTATATGTGATAAGTGATTTATATTTCAGTTTGAAAAACTGCTTTATTGGATGATCCTTATTAGCAGGATGATAAATAAAATATCTAAAAATTGGAAGAGCTTAGCCACATGGCTGCTCTTAGTTCCGGGGTGGGTTCTGTCTTTGAAAGAGGCACTACAGCTACAGTCTTGTCACTTGGGAGCCAGGGAGTGGGTTTGGGAAGGCAGCTGGCACCTCTGTCACAGCAGCAGAGCCAGCCTTGGGGCCCAGGCCTCTTCACCATCCCATCTGTCCCTTCAAGGAGACTGATTTCATGAGTGGAATCAACAAGCTGTTGCAAGTGGCATATTTTAAAAACTAAAATAAGATGTGCCAGCTTGCACTGGGGCTGAGTAACCTAGGAAGTGACTGAGTGTCTATATTTGTGGTAACGAAGCCTCCCTTCCTAGGAAAGGGAGTGTGGTGTGTAAACACAGGTACATTTTAAAAGGGAAGCAGCAGCTCCAGAGGTTGTCTAAGGAATTACAATTGTGCAACATGACGAACAGTGCCTTTTTGTCACTGAAACAAATACCTGAGATGATCAACTGACAGAGAAGAGGGTTATTTTGGCTCACAGTTTTAAGAGATTTCAGTCCAGAATCCATTGGCTCCACGCATAGCACCACAGTATGGCAGGAGTGTGGCAGGGCCACCCTGCAAAAGCGAGAGAGGAACAGACCACCCTGTGACCCAAAGACCCTGTGACCCAGGCCCCTCTGCTTAAGGGGCACCACCCCCCTGGCAGTGCCATGCTGGGGCCCAGGCTTCACCAGTGGACCTTTGGGGGACACATCCAGACCCCAGGGGTTCATGTCTGTCTCACAGTGTAAATGCACTGAATCCATCATCAGCGGGACCCCAAAATCTGAACAGTTCCTGCCTTGCTCAGAAGTCCAAGTCCAAGTCTTCTCTGAGCTTTGAGGCTGATTCTGCTGTGAGCTTCTATAAAAGTCAAAGAACAGCTGACATACAAACTCTCCTCGTTTAATGACCCAGTCCACTTCCTGTTGTCAAAAGAATTGGTTGCTAAATGAGAACTCGTATAGAGTATGTATGTGACAATATTCCAAACAAAGAAAAGTTCAAAGGAGATTCCAAGTTGATGACTTTGCTTTTATTTGCATAACTCTTCCATGCAGTACTGAAATGTATAACAGGACATAAAACTACAGTACTGTACTGTACAGTGCAATCAGCAAAAATCACAGTACTGTATAAACGAGTACTGCACAAGAAAGACACTGTGGCTATATCAACAAGATGTACAGAACTGTACCGAAGAAAAGGAAAAGAGACAGGTCCTAAGTCTGAGCAGTGAGTTATAAGTCTGAACAGTTGTTAAATAGTAAACAGGTAGGCCGTTAAACAAGGGAAATCTGTATACTCCTTAGGTGTAGTGGCAGAGGGTAAACATTCCCATTCCAAAAGATAGAGACGGGAGAATCAGACCAAAGGAAGACCAGGCCCCAGCAAGGTGTTAATGCTAAAGCTCCATGTCCAGTACCAGGGCCTCAACATGTCCACCAGGGCGTGGACAGCTGCACTCCTGCAGCCCCACTGTTATCCATCTCTCAGGGTCACCGGGTGAGACCAGGAAGGGTGCATCTCCCTCCCACTCCTCCCTTCTCTCTCTGCTTCCTGGCTGCCATGAGGTGAGCAGTGCTCCTCTGCCAGACCCTCCCACCATGTCCTTCTGTCTTGCAGCCGGCCAATGACGGATGGAAAATGTGAGCCAAAATAAAGCCATTCCTCTGAGTTTTAGGTGTAGGGTATTGTGTCTCAGCAACCAGGAAGCATCTAAGGCGTCAGTTTCTAAAGAGGAAGGGTTGATTGGGGCCTGCAGCTGTAGAGGTTCCAGTCCATGACGAGCTGGCCGAGTTGCTCTGAGCCTATGAGGAGCACCACAGCCTGGTGAGCAGCTCGGCTCACAGCAGGAAGTGGAGGAGAGAGGACCCTGTGTCCTGCATCCCTGTGAGGGCACAGCCCTGGTGACCTGAGGATCTGCGAGCAGGCCCCACCTCTCAGGGCTCCCTTGGCCTCCCAAGAACCCCATGCTGGACGAAGCCTTGAACACAGGGATGTCTTGGGGACACTTCCCGAACCACAGCAGTGTGCTTCATTCACGACCCTGGGCTGGCGCCTGCTGGCTTTAGTGAACTCGGGTCTCTGTTAGTGGTGCAGTGTGGTCCCGGGGTGGTAGGTACTGGACCACGCTGGAGCCCGACACCCTGCAGAGCCTCTGTTCTCGCCTTCTGCTAACTTCAGGCTTGGCAGGTCCTGGTGAGAGCTGGCCTGGTGTCCTTTCCTCCACGGCCATCAAAGGATAGGAGTCCTGCTCCTGGTGTAAAATTTTTTAAAGTATGGAAATTCAAAGGGATTAATGATATTTATCATTAGCCAGAAAAGTTAAGTGATAGTAAGGAAATTAATGTTACAATGGATGTACAGAAATATATGTATATGTTATAAAAACTGGTATAATTTAGGTACTGAGACCCCGGGGATGTGTGGCTCTGGCCCATGGAAGGCCGCATCCTGATGTCTTTGATAGTAGCTGGTATCTGGATGTCACTCTACTGGAGGAGGGCAGCGGGGTGCAGTCTCGTAGTGCTCCTGTATGAAAATCCCTCCCTGGGTGAAATCCAGTTCCTGGTCTCACTGTTCTGCTCTCTGAATGAAGCTCACGGCCTTGGCCGTCTCTCTGGGTTCTCCTCAGGACCCTCCTGGCCACAGCTCCAGGGCGGAGCACTGCACGCCAGCATCAGTGACAGCAGCTAAAAGTGACCAGCTGCACAGTGAGGATGGCAGGGATTAGAGGTGCTGCAGGAAGTTCTTGGGGCCCCTGAGAGAAGAACTAACCCCCCTGTGTCATTGCTGCATCCATCAGCTGCTCTGCTGTATCTGCGGAATTATATGCATAAGAAATCCTACTTTGCCAGGTGTGGTGCACACCTGTGATCCCACCACTCAGGAGGCTGGACAGGATTTCCATGAGCTCGAGGCCAGCATGGGCTTCATAGTGACACTCTGTCTCAAAAAACAAAACCAGACAAACCAGCAAAAAAAAATAAAAGTGAAACCGTACCGAGAAAAAAATCATGATATCAAAACAATAGTTTGACTAGAACAAAGGGCTAGACATGGACTACATCAGATGCATAATGTTATTTTTCCTGTAGGTTTTTTTCTAATAAAAAATTTTAAAAATAGCTATGAATCTATTAGGCAAACCCAGTATTAGAAAACAAATCAACCAATGTTTGACTACATAGACCATTTGTTCTGGACTAGTAGTCTTTGTTTTTCTTCATTTCCTACATTGTTAGCAAAGAATCTTTTACATGTCCTATTTCCTTTGTCTCCCTTTTTTTTGGATTTGTTTTTTTGAGACAGAGTCTTGCTATATAGCCCAGGTGGCTTCAAACTGAACTCCTGCCTCAGCCTCCAGAGTGCTGGGATGACAGGCATGTGTCCCCACACCTCGCTGTCACCCATTGTTACAATAAATCAAGCACCAATCTTCCCAGACAGACCTGCTGTTACAGCAGCTGCTGTTCTCCCTGGGGCTAGCTCCATACCTAGTGTAATAATGGTATTCCTATTGCTAATGGAATTCCCTAGTTCATCCAGTTTTCTCTAAAAACGAAACCCCTCATGCCTGTACTTCCTTCAGATCTGGACGGCCTAGTCACACAATAATGCCTATGTGTGTGTATGTCTCCCCCACTCAGGTGATGCAGGCCCAATGCGTGAAAACAGAAACGGAGTTCTACCGCCGCAGCCGCAGCGAGATAGTGGCCGGTGAGGGCCACACCATGGGTGCGCTCTATTGGCAGCTGAATGACATCTGGCAGGCTCCTTCTTGGGCCTCTCTAGGTAAGAGCTTCAGTGTCCTGTATCAGAAAGAAGCAAGACCTGAGGGAGAAGGACCAAGAATGCACTGAGCTTGAAGGGCCAGGTGAACCGAGGCAGAGCTGAGTTCCAAGGAGCTGTTGGAACTGAGTGTGTGACCCACAGCCCCCACTCATGTCAGCAGTGTCTCCTTGGCCTTAGCAGTGATGAGTATTAGTCATCAGTGCGAACCAATACCTGAGAGGTTTAGTCTGACTCACAGTTTCAGGGGATTCAGTCCATGGTCAGCTGGTTCCAAGGCATAACCATCATGGCCGAAGGGCCTGGCAGGGGAAAGATGCTCCCATCATGGCAGCTGGGAAGCAGAGCAGGGAAACAGCGCCAGAGAGACCCAAGGTCACCCTATGACCCTCCCAGAAACACCCAGAAGTGTGCCACTCCCATCCTCAGGGCAGCTCCCAAGCCAATCACTAGACTCCCCACCCTGACCCCCACAGGGGGCTCTGAGCACTGTGTGTGCGGTCACAGCATCCCAGAGAGGGACAGTTCATATCCAGAGATCCCAGCCATGTGTCTTGCAGTTATAGCATAGTGTAGGAAGATTCTGCCCGGGAGGATTGGCCCACTTAGCTGCTAAAGTGCTCCTTCTCTGGCTCTGTTACTCTGTAGGGTCATCTTCATTGCACCCTGTTTGTTGCAAGCACAGGAGATAGTACAGTCAGAGATCCAGCCTCAGCTGGTTGAGCTGCCAACCTTCCCGGTTCACTAGCAGCAGGTGAGACACTGGCGTGGAGCTTGTAGTTTGAGCGATCCCATCTACTTGGGTACAGTTAGCAAACATGAAGCCATAATAATGTCTTTGACCTTCTCTGGAGGTGATTTGAGGTGAAGTTCAGATAGTAATAACAACAGTAGCTTTGAGTCAGAAATGGGGGAGGGCCTCCCAGTAAACAGGCCGACTCGTGGGCATGGATGCAAGCCCTGGAGTCCATCCCAAGCCTGGTTAGTGCCCTGCAGGTAACTCAGGGGTCTGCCCAGGTCTTCCAGCACCGATGGAGGAAGGCGCATGATGGAATCTGGCAGGCAGAGATGGGACAGCTGCGGGGACGCTGGAAAGGTGGACAGAGGGAGGCTGCTCAGAAGCCCTGGGACACTGGCCCTGCTGTCTGTTGGTGTCCAAGGTTGTGGCTGCTGAGTCTGAGTTGAGTCAAGAAACAGGAGAGCCCAGATTGGCCTTGAACTTATGGTGATCCTCCTGCCTCAGCCTCCCGAATGCTGGGATCACAGGTGTGCGACATCACACCCGGCAGCCTTGCCTGTGTGATGACTGCACGTGGATCATTTGTAGAAGTTCCTCAGGGAGGGGATGATGGCACAGCAAGAATTTAGCTGCTTCCTCAACCCGGCAGGACCCTGAAACGTGGGGGGTGCACTGCTTTGGGGAAGAGTCTTGTCCTGAAATGGACAAATGGTCAGTTGGAAGGTGGTGGAAGTGCCAGTTTTGGGGTTTGTTGTACTGGCTGTGTCACCAGGATGTGAACCCCCCGGGTTCTCTGCAGGTTCTGGTCAGTTGTGGCACAGGTACTAACTCCCCTGGTGCATGTTTTCCTCCTCTGTTCCAACCTTGCCAGCCCTGTTTGCAGAGCTGCTTTGGATCCCCAAGGGCTTTATGCCCAGGGAAAGGAGGCGCTGAGTGTTGAGTGGCTCTTGCGACCATTTGCAGCAGGCGCCCCCAGCAGTGCTGTGATGGGCTCGTTGTGTTTGTGGGGAGAGGGACACGGCTCCGGCTCCCTGAGCACTGTCGCCTTGGCATGTGCTGTCTGGGAGCCGGGTTTGGGTTTAGAACCTGCTCCTGGTGGGTTTGAATCCCCCACGGAGCCCCTTTGCCTTCAGTGGCCAGGTTGATGGGCTGGGACACCAAGGATGCCCAGGGTCCTGACCGTGTGTGGCCCCGACCCCCTCACCCTGGAAACTCCTGTCAGCCGCCCAGCCGCCCACGGGACAGTGGGGACAGGGACTCTGTCCACTGGCCCTGGCCTCTCTGACCTCCCCGCTGCCCACAGAGTATGGCGGCAAGTGGAAGATGCTGCACTACTTCGCCCGGCATTTCTTCGCCCCGCTATTGCCCGTGGGCTTCGAGGATGAGGCCGTGTTTCACATTCACGGCGTGTCTGACCTGCATGAGGACCGGAACGTGACGCTCACCGTGAGTCACTGGGGCCTTGCTCCAGGACATGGAGGGCTGGAGATGAGCTCCTTGGTGCTTGGGTTGTGTGGCTTTGGGGACAAATAGCGAAATGAATTTGCATCAAAATATTTTCAATGGCTATGGTAGAAAATGTGCTGTCCTCGGGGTCAGAACACAGAGTGGACAGCAGTCGGGTTACGGCTCTGCCGGGAGCTCTGGACCACTTGGCCAGCCAGCATTCTGTCTTCGAGGCGACACAGCAGCCTGTTGCCCTGGAGGTGTCTGAGAATAGTGAATTACCTGAATTATATAAACTGCAAAGTGCATGCAAGTGTAAGCTTACTTATAAACAAGACAATCAGGCAGTATTCCAAATTTTGCAAAAAGAACTGGTTAATCTTGGTGTGTTAAAGTTGAAATCAGTAAGACTACCTGGGAGGGGCAGTTAGAAAAATAAACTTGCATTTATAACAAGTTTAGGCAAACAGAAAAGGGCAGCGAGTCCCTGTGTTGGACGGCCGCCCTTGGGGGGCGCTGGCCACACTGGAAGCCGGCTGTGTGTGGGGTTCCTGTGCTGACTGCAGCTCCTGTCTCCCGAGGGTGGTCTTCGATGCCCACCACTGCCTGTGACGTCCATGCGGTCATTGGTCTCCTTGTCCACGTGAAGAAACAGAGGCTGAGTGGCTTGGGGACTTGGTCACATGGCCAGCACCCAGCAGCCTGGGGTTGAAACCCAGCTTTGCTGTCCCCTAGCCAGGTGTGCCGTCCCCGCCGCAGTGACTGTCCCTACTCTCAGGGTTCCTTCTTGCCGCTTCCTCCCACAGCTGACGGGGCACTCCTGGCGCTCCCTGCAGCCCGCATGTGTCCAGGCCACAGAGTCCTTGGTGATGAAGGCGGGGACTGCCACCTGTCTCTACAGCGAGCCCATGGGCCGCCTGCTGAGCAGGTGCGGGAACTGCACCCGGCGAGGCTGTGTGCTCTCCTTCTACCTCTCGGCCGGCCGCGAGCTCGTGAGCCCAGTCAACTACCACTTCCTGTCGTCCCTGAAGGACGCCGAGGGGCTGCTCAAGGCGCGCATCTCGGTAAGCCCTGGGCCTGTAGAGCCCGCGGCTGCATCCTAGCCGCACACCTCCCCCTTGGTTCAGGGGTGACCTCGGCCTTTGGGAGACACCCCTCACGCTGGATGCAGAGACCCGAGGGCTTTCACTTGCAGTGCAGGGCTTGAGCAGGGGTTCGGTTTCCACCCCAGCTTCTGCCAACTGCACCCCATGGGTGTGCACCGGAACCCAGGTGCTTCGCTGCGTCCCGTGACCTTCAGCACAACCCCATGGTGTTAACCCATGCTGAGACCAAGCAGCAGCGCAGGGTCCTGCATCCCAGTTTTGCCTTTGTAAGTCTGGTCTGTAATCACAGCACTCCCTGCTCTGGGGCTTAATCACCAAAGCTCTAACTGCCAAGAGAGAAAAGAGGTAATTTAGGCTGCGATGTTACAAAACTTGTGCCGCTGGAGGGCGTGGGCTCTGGCCGATTGGAATCCCCCCCAGTAACTGACAATACTTTTCAAGAAAGTTTTATTTTCTGTTTTTAACAAATCTTAAATGTGGTTTATACTTTTATTTCATTGAGAAAGCATTTTAAAACTGACTTTAGAAGTCATATAAAAACAGTATCCTTGTTTGTTTTTTTTTTTCTGAAAAGGGCGTACCAGTTGAAGACATACCTTGTTTCCAAATTAACAGTGAAATATTCACATAGTGATGCCCAAATTCTCTGCAATGACGAGGTAGAACAGATTGGAAGGAAATGACGTATGCTTACATAGCTTTTTTTCCCCTCTGGATTTTCTTTTCCGGTACCTGGGATCTTACTCAGGACCTTGCGCTCGTGAGGCAGGTGCGGCGCCACTGAGCTAAATCCCCGGCCGAGCTTTTCTTTCTTCCCCCAACAAATTGTGTGGCATTCACACAAAAACATAACTGTGGGACTGGAAAAGGTTTGGTTTCTAAATGAATGGATTGGAAAACATTTTTTCTTTCTTTAGCTGGGGCTTCTCGTCTTCTCTTCGTCCTAAAGTAAGCATAACATAAGTTGTCGTTCCTCGGGGAATGACGGGCTGAGCACTTGGCGTCCCTCTCCGGGAGGCTAGGCGGACTGAAGCCAGAGACCAGGCTCCAGCAGGGGAAAGGGGGGCCGGTGCCCGACTACAGGCCTTCCCCAGAGTGCTTTACCGAGTTTCTTTTCTGCTTCTATCAGTGTAGGTTTTCTTTTTATAACTGAGGCCCTGGAATGATAATCATGCCAGTGCCTTGGGGCTGAGCTGATATAGTAAAAGAAATGCCCTTTGAAGTACTTTATGTTACACAAAACATAATGAAAGACCCTATAGCATAGCATGGGGGAGGTGTGATCAAAGAATAGCATATATTTAAATTAAAAAATTACCACAGGGCTGGGGATTTAGCTCAGTGGTTCCGTTGCCTGTCTCACAAGCACAAGGTCCCGAGTTCAATCCCCGGTGGCAAAAAAAAACCCATTACCACAGTAAAACACACATTGCCATGAATCGCCCTCAGAATCTGCCCTCTTGCTTGAAACACACTGATCCCATCGTTCCTGCCACCCTCTGAAGCCGTTCTGGAGCCCTGCTTCATGAGTGTCTTTAGTTGTGCTGTTGGGTGGCTGCCTCAGTGTCCTGAATTGTTTGCCTTTCATGGTCATTTTGACTGGGGAGAGCTGGAGTCACAAGGCACCAACCTGGTGACGAAGGTGGATGAGGACTCAGCATCGTGTTTTTACAAGCCTACCTTTCTGTTGGATGGCGCTCAGCAGCAGCTGCATTCACTATATTTTTGATCACAGCTCATAAAGAGCCTCAGGAAAGAGGACTTCAGAGCTGCTGCAGAAAGTGTGAAGGACCATGGGATTAGTGTGTTTGGCTTGAGGGGGAGAATTTTGGGGGATTGGTGACCATATGTTCTTTACTGTAATAAACCTCTTTTTGATACTGGAGATCGAACCCTGGTTTTTGCGGTTGTGGGGCAGGCGGCGGCACCACTGAGCTAAATCCCCAGCCCTGTAACAAACATTTTAAACGTGAGCACTGCTGTCCTCTTCACTCACCCTGTGTCTGCCCCACCCTGCTGTGCTAATGGCTCACTGGCCCGCAGGCTGCTGTCCGGCTTGAGTTTCAGAGCCTCAAGGTCAGCTGGCGTCTGTGCTCTGCAACAGGTCCAGACATGTCCTCAGCAGGTCACTTAGGCCACCGCCTTATGCCAGGTGGTCCTTCCTGCTCTGAGAAAAGCGCCCTGAGATAGAAAGCTTTAAGGTCCTTGTGAAATGTGCTCCTTAATATTCGGAGTCTCACATTTCCTTGGTTTGAAATTATAGTGCAGTCATTTCCCATGGAGCTAAGCACTGCTGAGTGTCTGACCCAGCAGGAGCAGGTGCTGGAGACTTGATCCTCCCTGGGCTCTCTGACTCCCAGGTGTGGCATTAGACCCCCTAGCCCCTCCCTCACCCTTCTGGGTATTCATCTTCTTTTCCAGGCCACCGTCTCTCAGCAGGGTGACACATTTGCCTTTGAGCTGGAGACGTCAGCGGTGGCACCCTTCGTATGGTTGGACGTAGGGAGCATCCCGGGGAGGTTCAGCGACAACGGTTTCCTTCTGACCGAGAAGACACGGACTGTTCTCTTTCACCCGTGGGCGCCCACCAGCACGAGTGCCCTGGAGCATTCTCTCCGTGTCACCTCCCTGGCAGACATTTACTGAGGGGTCCAGGTTACGAGTGTCCACAGGTGACGTCCCCAGGCAGGGCCGCATCTAGGTGTCCCGGATCTGGCCAGGCTGTGTTCTGGGTCAGCCCTGCCTGTGCCGTGCCTGGGGCCCTTCCAGGAGTCACAGGAAAGGTACAGTGGCAGTGTCTGTGGAGCCACACCCAGGAGGCTGTGAGGTACTGTGGGCCTTTCACAGTCAGCATTGAGAAATGCTGGCTTTAATTACTGTTTTTGTAGCACACGTCTGCAGTAGGTAACAACCACATTCCTTGTGGGAATCATGCGTAATACCTCTGGTTCCTTCCGTCTTGCTGAATAATCTACTGAGGTGCCTGGTTACTGGAGCTTCAGCTGTCAGAATGAGAGATTTCTTGGTGACACCATGCTGATCACAGTTCCCAGACTGTTCAGGGGTTGATTGTTGTCGTTTGGTTACTATTTGGGGGTAAGATTCTTACTCATTTTGAGTTATTAAATAAAAAAAACTGCTTTAGTGACCATAACTTATTTTTTAAAAGACCCTTAGAGTGATCCTTTAAAAAATAAGCTGGCATTGAAATCACCGTGGGCACTAGAAATTTTGGGGTGCCCTGACATTGGCACATGGGTGAGCTTCAGATTTGGCCAAGTCCAATGAGATTTTGAGCTCAAAGGGATGGATTAAATGTAGACTTGTTGGCCCTGGCACTAAGTGATGTTACCTTTATCAAGAGTTTAGATCATTTATTTATATTGATTAACTGTACCTTGCTTTAAAATTGTTCGGTTATTATCACATTTACAACATTACACTGATAAGAAAGATAATGGTGCAAAATGTTAATAAGTAGTTAATGAGGGTAAAGCTATGTGAAGTTTTTGTATTATTTTTGCAGTTTTTCTGAGTTTGAAATTATATAAAAATAAAAGCTATATGACAACTTGCTATTTCGTCTGTGACTTGTTGAATCATGCCCCAGACGTTGTGCTGGGTATTCCTCATTGTGCCTGTGACACTGGGCCTTGCCGGCAGAAGGGCTGCCCCCTTCTTAGTGCGAAGCAGCTCTTCTGGCTGTCCGGGAGGTGAGCTTTGACCTACATTGGCTGGAGTTTACACGGAGTTCTGCAGTTTTAGTCAAGCTTCCCAACTTCTGTATTTGATTTTTCTGTGTGTGGTAAAATGGGAATAATAAGCCAGTTGTTCCTGGGTGTGGTGGCCCATGCCTTTAATCCCAGCACTTGGGAGGCTGAAGCAGGAGTGCTTTGAGTTTGAGGCCAGCCTGGACTACACAGGGAGTTCAAGAGCAGCCTGGAATGTATAGGGAGACTTGTCGGGAGTAATGCTACATAATTTTAGGGAAAAATCATTTGATTAGCCTAGTTCTCCTGCCTATAGCACAGCTATGGAATTCTGAGACATAATTGCATTTTGGCCTCCAGTCACAACTGAGACCTCAATGATCCAGTGATGCTGTGATTCTCCAGGACAAGAAACATCCTGGGAGCTGAAAACATCCTGGGAGCTGAAAACATCCTGGGAGGAACAAACATCTACTCAGTTCCTCCTTGTTCTTGGATTGTTACATCTTGTTTACAGGATGTACTGAACTCTCTGCAAGTCATTTGTTACATTTGTTTCTCCCGATGTCTGAATAAAAGGTGCGGTAAGCTGGTGGCTTTTGTCTTTGCTGCTCAGAGCAGCACTGATCAGACCCAAAGCTGAGCTTCTTCTCAGTCTCATTTTTCTACTTTCCTATAATTAGCCTTGTGCTGCTGTGGCTCTCAGGAGACTAGGACTCACTGCAGAGGTTCTAGTAAACTCCCCTTTCTCTGTTCCCTACAGAGACTTTTACTAAAAAGCAAACAAGCAAAAAGCAAAAAAAAAAAAAAAGGAATAATAACACCTACCATGTTAAGTTTGTTTAGGAGAACAAATAAAATAATTTGGCTAAAGGGTGTGGCCCCGTGGGTGGGAGCGTCCCTTGGGTCCCAGCCAGTTGTCCAGCCACACTTTCCCAATAGCAAGCCATCCGCTGAGGCCTCCTGGCCACGTGACTGTGCACATCACCTCCCCGGATGAACCCCCGCTGCTCCCTCTCTGAAACACAGACTGGTGCGACAGGCTCTGGAGTGGAGGCGATGCTGAGTCCATGCTTGGGGCGCCTTTTACCACAATCGTGGTCACCGGTTCCTGTGTGGAGCAGTCGTGAAGATGGAGCCAAGACACGCAGATTCTTTCTCCTTCCCTCTCTCCCTCGAGATGGAGTCTTTTTATATAGTTCAAACTGGCCTTGAGCTCACTGTGTAACCCAGGGTGGCTTTGAACTAGCAGCAATCCTCCTGCCTCAGCCTCTTGAATGCTGGGATTACAGGCGTGTACCCTGCTTCAGTTTTTTATTTATTTTTTGGTGCTAAACTGGAACCCTGGGCCTTGTATATGATGCTCCCGTCACAGCCCTCGGGAAGATGATCTGTACATCTCATCCAGCCCAAGTTCTGGGATCTCTCAGAAAACACAGCGCGCTTGAGCCATGTCTGCTGGATCTCTGCGCCTCCCCACACCCTCTACTGGGGGACGAGTAAGAAGGAAGAAAACTCCCCAGGACAGCACAGAGTGGGAAGGAGGAGGGGAGCAATGATTCCTACTCAAGCACTTCAGCTTGTTAGTAGGAGAAATCGAGTCACAGATGTGCCTTTACTACATTCTGGTTGCACTGCACTAGGCTTGGGGCCCTATGACTACAGCACCCTGTAAGAGCCCTGGGTCCATTTTCTTTCTCCTGTAGGAACAGTGTCCTTTCTTCCAAGGACCTGTTGGGACATGCTCAGAGGTCAGTCTTCCGAGCGGGTGGGCCTGGCTGAGTCTGGGCCGAGGGGTGCAGCTCTCGCTTCCTGTCTGTGTTGCAGAGGGGGTTAGATGTCCCTGGAGGGGCGTCTTCGGGATCATGGTGGCCCTGTCCCACCTTCTCTCTCCTGTGCAAACCCACAAGGTGCCCCCCAGAAGGTCTGTGGGGCCCCGGGCGGGGAAGGGGCACCCAGAGCACTCTGGTGCTGCCGAGGACGAGAATTCGAGTCCAGGGCAGGTCTGCTTCCACCTGGCCTGTGAGGAGGGAGACTCAAAGACACTCAAGTTCTGAGGAAGCTGTTTTTAGGCAGGCTCCTGGCAGGCAGCCAGCAGGCTTATTTCAGGCCCTTTGTGGCTCTGTAGACCTCCTGCTTCCCTCTGGTGCGGGTCCCACCTGCCCCCAGGATGGAAGCAATGGAGCCCTGGGAGGCAGCTCCGGGCCGAAGGAGAAGCGGCCTCCTTGCTGAGCTCTGTTTCCATCTTGGTGTGAACAGGCCGGTCCGTCTTCTTCCAAGCTTGGCTTCTGTGTAGAGTGGATTCTGGTCCAGGACTGTCCAGGCAGAGACTTGGAAAACAGCTGCAGTCCACCCACCTGGGCCACAAGTGTCTCGGGTCTGTGACTTGTCCCTGTGGCTGGGCCCAGCAGGACAGCTTGTGTGCCTGATGGGCAGCGAGGCCCAACAGCATGAAGGTCAGATGGGGCTTGGGGCTGGGGCTTCTGGTCACACTGGGGTCCCCACTGGCTTTGAGGAGTGGCCACATGGCTGGGGTTGTGGAGAGGATGCCCCCCAGGGCTGGGCAGAATCGTGCTATGTGTTGTGACCAGGCTAGGGAAGTCACTTAGCCCCTCTCCTGCCCATGATAGGCACGCACACTCAGGGGACAAGGCAGCCCTCACTCCTTGGTGGGAGGGGTCAGCACACGGGTGGACAGGACCCCTCTGTGGCCCAAGGGACAGAGGCCACTTGCCACCCTGGGAGCTGACAGGGGCCTAGGGTGCAGACAGACTGCTCAAGTGAGAATGAGAAACCCAGAGCTGTCCCTTTTCATGTCTTCTATGGTTTATACCTCAGTGTCCCCCCAAAGCCTAATACAGTCACAGCAGGGCTTGGGGAGGTGGCTGGGTATGGGGCTCAGAGGTGATTGTTGTTAGGAGGTGGGGCCTGGTCGGAAGAGGTCACTAGGGGGCATGACCTCCCTTCCTGGCCTCTGCTTCCTGTCCACCATGCTGTGAGCAGCTGTCCTCCGCAGACCCTTCCCCATGCTGCCTTTCTCTGGAGCCAGCTGACTAAGGACTGAACCTCCATACACTGTGAGCCAAAATAAACTTCTCCTCCTTTATCGGTCCCAGTAACAACAAAGTGACTAAGATGTTATAGATAGAGTTTTAGTTAAACTAGAAGCAGAGGGGCGGAGAGAAGAGCAATGGAATATAAAACAGAATTTCTTAAAAATTGTATTTACAAATAGCTCTTGTTTGACCTACCCGTTTAACGATGGTTCGGATTTAAGACTGAGGCATGTTTGGACTTAGAACCCGCATCCTGACTTACGACACAGGAATGTGAGCGGCAGTGCAGCCTTATGGTGGCTTCTTCACCAGTACAGAGCTGTCATTTTTGCTGATTGTACTGAACAGTACAGTATTGTGGTTTTATGGTTTTATATGTTACAGCACTGCATGTAAGAGGTACGCAAATAGAAGCACAGTCACCAAGTTGGAGTCTCCTCTGACCATTTTCTTGTTCCGAACATTGTAATATGCATACTATATACAGTTCCTCATCTCCGACCAAATCACTTAATGACCTAGTCACAGGAACGGAGTCCGGCTGTTACAGGAGGAGGCCTGTGCTGTGACACACTCTAAACTCGGGCCTGAACTGTTTTTACATGAGAGAATAAAGCCTTATTTAGCAGGGCTGTCCCGACCTCAGGACTATTCATTCATCATTCCTGCTCCAATCGACTCATCTGCTGGAACATGTTTGTTGGATATCACTTTTTCCTCATTGATTTGGAATTTTACTTTATTTTATAACACATTCCTGTATATTCTGGAGCTCACTTCTGGACTCAGTTATTTTTATCTACCTTTGTACCCTATCAAGACAACACCCAGCCCTTGAGCTCAGGAGCTGGCCAGAGTGGATGTAAACCCAGAAGCTCCCTAGCCATGGTCTACTTGAGCTCTCTAGGCCTCAGTTTCCTGCTCTGGAAGCTGGGGATAAATCCTCGTACCTCACTGGGTTAACTAAGTGACTTAGTGACCTACTGCGTTGTGCAAAATTGTTCAGGACAGTTTCCAGCACCCAGGAAGGCTGGGTCCTCTGACATGGAGAGTGGGGGGGGGGATATTTGTTTGGAGTGACTGGGCCCAAGAGCTGCCAAGGGACCGGAGGGAGGAACGGAGTGGGCTGAACGGAGGTGCCGCAGGGACCCGGCAGGGGAGGCCTTCATCTGCTCTCAGCACGAGACGTGTGTGGAGGGGATGGGGACCTGCTCTCCACAGTGGGTCAAGGGCTTGTTAGAGGGGTCCTGGGGGCGGGAGGTGGGGCTCTGTGGGGAGCACTTGCCTGGCATTCCCAGCACTGCAAAAATCATAATTCAAAAGGGGGAAGCTGGTTGTACATGCAGTGTGTCATTGCATCTTGTTCCTAAATGGAGTCTAGAGGGGGTGTGACTGTGCTGGGCAGGCTGCAGATGCCCCACACAAGACATCGTCTCAGAGAAGATCAAACAGAGTGAGGTCAACCGTTTGCTTTTCCTTTTATTATAAAAGTAAAATAAAAAATAGCATTTATAAATCCAACTTTTTTTCCTTTAAAGTATTTGGTCTAAAAAACATATTTACAATAGCAAAATGCAGAAAAGGGAGGGAAAAATACCACTTTCAGCCCTGATTGGAACCATGTTTAAATATTGCTAAGTGCGTGCTTTGTGAATCACGGCGCAGCCTTTCTATCGTACACCAAGCGACTCTCGTCCCCAAATACCTCCTTCCTTCGTATCTGAGTGCACAAACTGTGCTTGGGCGGCTAGAAAGACACTGGGCGGCCATGGGAGGGTCTCGGGGACACAGCAGAGGGACAGCAGCAGAGGGACGGCAGCAGCAGCGACGGAAGAGAAAGCAGCTGTGACCCAGCGGCAGCGACACCAGCGTGTCCCTCGCCCGGGAACGCTAGCGGCTCCGAGGGCTGCGCCTGCTGGGGGCTTCCTGTCTGGACATCAGGACCCAGCTGGGCGCCAGGCTCAGAGCCCCTCAGTGGCCCATGGCTCCGGGTTGCCTTTCCGTGAGCGCCTCTGGATGCCCGGCCTTCCATGTCTCTGGCAAGGTGCTGGACTTTCGGGCTTTGGTTGCACGGAGTGGCCTTCGCGGCGGCTAGATCTTCCCCTCTATGGGTCCGTCCTGCCCAAAGTTGGGGGGCCCTTTGTTAAGGGTTAGCAAGGGGCTGCCGCCCGTCAGGGACTCCGTGAAGCTGAGCTTGCGGAAGGAGGTCTCCACACCGCTGTCACAGATGCTGTCCTGGTCTCGAAGCTCATCTGTGGGGAGAAAGCTGGGGTTCAGGGGCTTGGCCGGGACCTCGGCTTCTGGGGTCACCCACTCTGTCCCCTCTGTCCCTGCCGCCCGCCAGCGCTGTCCACACTGGGGCAGGGCAGGGCAGGAGGTGCCCAGGACATTGATATCTGTGCAGACCCTTTTCAACCTGACGTTTTCATCTCTCTCTGATAATCTGTCGCCCGTGGGTCGGACACGGCCTGAATTCTCCTCACTCCACGCGCACCACCTGTTTGGCAGCCCAGGAAGAGGCTGAACCTACGCACATATACAGGAGCGGGAGGAGGAGCTAATGCGGAGACCGCTCCCGTCTCCTGTGCCGTCAAAGGGCACCTTGACGACATTCCTAGTAGCAGAGAAAATAAGAGGGCTTTGATGAAGTGAGTCTACACGGAAAAGGACGCAGCCTTCTCTTTGTGGAAGAGTATCCTTAGGAATCTGACCAACGGGAATTAGTTCCTGTATAGAAAGGGAAACAGGGAAACAGGGAGACAGGAGGCTGATGCAGACCCATCTCCAGTCTGCTAGGGCTCATCTGTCACAGCTCTATCTGGGGACTGAGACTTTAGTGACTGTGCCATGACTGCTGCCTTGGTATGGATTTATTCAAGTGACCAATCTTAATGTAGTTTCTCATCTGCACTGGGAGCTGTGAGGTATTTTAAAGATATCTACAAATTAAAGGCTTAATGCTGAAGTGTTTGCTTTTGAGAGCTGTCGGCGTTTACTTTTTTGAGTGTGCTAAAAGAGCACCAGCCCGAGTCCAAGCCCCAGGTGGATTCCTGGTGCTGCTTCCCCCCTCCTGCAAGGTGACCCCCCCCAGCACCCTGACAAGGTGACCTTGACACAGGAGGGTCAGGAGGGGGCCAGGGAGGCGAGCTTTCTAGGGCTGGGTAACACTAGTGACCCTGGGAGCACATTGGGGTGACGTTTGAGGGGGTAGCTGGGCAGGGGTGGGCGTAGCTTTCCACCAGCCCTCAGATGGTGCTGGGCTTGCTATGTGCTGGACAAGGACTTGCTGCATGGATGAATGGACTGCAGGGGACGTGACAGGCCACATTAGCTCGCTAACTTGGGAAGAGAATAACACCACTGGGTGTGATGGCACATATCTCTTAATCTCAGCACTCTGGAAGGCTGAGGCAGGAGGATCTTGAATTTAACCTCAGCCTAGGCAACTTAGGTGAGGTCCTGTCTCAAAATAACCCAGTGTGAAGGCCTTGGGTTCAGTCCCCAGCACCACACACACACACACACACGTTCAAACCACTGGTACAGAGAGTGGACTGAGGGAGGAGACTGAATAGGAGGAGTCCAGGCTAGGAGGGAAGGTGGGTCCAGGTAAGGTTGTTGTGGGGAAGGGAGAAGGATGAGGTACCACACTGGTGGTGTTGAGATGACCCAGCCCAGGAGGGACACACAAGAAATGGGGTCTGGATTGAAGATGCCTGCAAACTCTCCTGTGCTCCCGAGGGCTATGGGAGGTGACAGCTACGGGCCATGGCTCTCATCCATGGGTGCATCCAGGACAAGCATGGGTGGAAGGACACTTAGGAAGGGCCCTAGGGTGGGACCTGGAAGGGTCAGTTCTTGTTCTTGCTCCTTCCCTCTCTCCTTGCTTCCCAGGAGGCGAGCAGCTCCCCTCCACCAGGCCCTTCCACCATGATGTTCTCCCTCTGAGGTGGCAGACCATGGACTGAGCCAACGTAAACCTTACTTCCTTTCAGTGGGTTTTCTCATTTTGTCAGGATATAAGAGGCGATTCTCAGAGTCTCTCCTGCCCCTGAGGACTGCCCTGCTTCTCACAGATGTGGCCAGCACAGAGTTGGCTGGGGGTCGAGAGCTCAGCACAGGGAAGTGAGCTGGGCTGGGACCTGACTCTGGGTTGCTTGCAGCTGTAAGAGGTGAAAGGGCAGGGAGCAGGGTGGTGGCGGATCTTGGAAAAGCATTTGGGACACTGTGGAGTCGGGGCTGGCACGATCCCCATGCTGAGAAGGGGGTCCTGGTGAGTGTGACGGGGGCCACACTGGGGGCCCGAGCAAGGGGCCAGATGTGGGAGGCTCTAGAACTCTCCTGAGCAGTGAGGAGGCTCTGGGACAGGCTTCTAAGTGAGGATGTTCTAGAACTCTCTCCTGAGAAGCTCCGCTTCCTCCGACCTGCCTGACTGTAGCTGAAAGGGGTGTGGGATCGAGGCAGTGAATTGCTTTTCTGTTTCCATTTCTTTTTCGTTATTAGGGAGTGAACCCAGGGCCTTCACACTTAGCTCCATCCCGAGTCCTTTTTAAAATTTTTCTTTTTTTTTTGGTACCGGGGATGGAACTCAGGTCCTTGTGCAGCAGGCGGTGAAACCACGGAGCTAAATCCCCAGCCCTAAAATTTTTCATTTTGACACAGAGGCTCGCTAAGGTGCACAGTTGACCAGGATGGGCTTGAACTTGTCCTCCTCCTGCCTTAGCCTCCCAGAGTGCTGGGATTACAGGCCTGCACCCCCACACCCGGCTTTCTGTTTTGTTTTTACAGATCAGGAAATTCTGGTCCCGTGCTGGTTTAACCAGCAGGGCAGGAGGGGTCTGGCGGACCCCAGGTGGCAGAGATGAGACTGCCTCCTCAGGGCAGAAAGGTGAGCGCACTGGGGTCCAGGGAGCCTGTGCTATTAGAGCAGAGGGAGAGGCCTGGCAGAGATGGAGGGTTTGGGAGCCACTGGAAGCAGCCCCAGGGAGACCAGGGCTTGTGGGGTGATTGGCGGTGGGCAGGTGGGTGTCCCGAGCGTGGAGAAGACCCCAGGAGGACGGGTCCCTGGGGCACTGGGGGTGCTTCAGCGGAGAGGACTGTGGCCGACTGCTCTGGTCGGCCTGGTCCCCAGCCTGCCGCTGTCCCCTCCTCTGGACCTGAGGGGTGAGAGGGGGTTCACCTCACCCGGTCGCATCCTGCTGGGCGCGGTGCTGATGGCAGCTCACATGTCCGCGTCACTGCCCCCTCGGGTGAACAGCGGTGTCTCGAGGGGCAGAGGGTGCCGGTGGGGACGGCCCTGTCCTCCGTGTCCCCCGAGACCCGAAGACCCCAGGCCAGCAGGGAGCAGGAACGCCCTGCCTCACCAGTGTCCTTACCCATCTTCGGGGACAGCGACAGGGCAGGCGGGGGGCCCTGTGTGGTGCCCTTCACAGGGCTGGGGGCCCCCGAGCTGCAGCAGGCGGCCTGGACCACTTCGATGGCTTCCGTGTAGCCCATCTGTCCCAGGGCCTCCACCAGCTCCTTGACCGTGCCCCCGGAGACCTGGGGAGAGACAAGCACCGTGGGAGCGCGGGGCTGGGCCGCTCCGTGACATCGTGTCCACACAGGCAGCCGGGCGGGACTGCAAAGGGCACAGAGGGTGACAGGGACATCCAGCCTTTCCCTGTCTCAGGTGACGAGTTACCTCATAGTTGTCCATGAGCGTCTTGGACGGTGAGGGGCTCAGCCGGAAGGCGTGGTTCAGGATGCCCAGGCCCAGCTTGTGGGCCAGCGTGGCCCAGTTTCTGTCTGGGTCGGGGACTTCCAGCAGCTTGTAGAGCTGCAGCTTGGCCTCTTCGCTCAGAAGCTTCATGTCCCCTGCAGGGACGAGGAGGAGCATGCTGGTCCCGAGCCCCGCCAGCCCTGCCTCCTCAAGGACATAGCGGGTCCGGGTCCCTGCAGGCGGCCTCTCCTTCCTGTGGGCACCCCCAGCCCCGCATGACTCGCTGCCCACTCCACAAACCTTGGGCCAGGACATCATCGGCCGTGATCTCGGGTTCATACGGCTTCCCGTTTAGGATGTCGAACACCTGTTGGGTGGAGAAACATCACGCAGATGTCAGGCTAAGAGAAAAGCTGCCCGGCTCGGTCTTCTGGAGTCCTCAGGCCCTGGGACTTGTCACGGAGGGGCAGATGGGCCCAGGAGGAGCCCTGTGGTCCACATGTGGCATCAAGTCCCTCTGAAAGCACCGATCCACCCCGTGGGAGAATCGTGTGGCCACCTCCCCCTGAAGACTCAGGGACGGCCTCTCTCCTTCCGGGCTTACTTCAGTGTCGCCGGAGGAAGGCTTTCAGTCCCCTTCCCCTGTTATTTACAGAAACCCTGAGATTCCTGCTTGTTCCTCTGCCCCGTGTCCCGGACCATAGGCACATCTGCTGGCCCAGGGCCGGGATGCCCGGATGCCGTGTGAGCTCCGTGCCCTGCCTGGTCTCTCTGGTCTCCAATGTGCCTGGGGCCCACTGACGCCCAGCCTCGGCCTGCGCAAGCTCACCTGCCAGCTGGCCGCCATGTCCAGTGGCGTCGTCCCCGGCACCACGCCTTCATCCTCTCCGGCCCTTTCCCAGGACTCATCCAGGTCGCACAGGGGCTCGAAGTTCTCCACCAGGGGGTCCGCCCCTGCCAAGCCAGGACAGCGTCAGGGACCCCCTCACTGTGACCAGTGGCAGCAAAGCACAGTGGCTGCGGGAGGTGACGCCCGGGTCATTTCCGATGCCTACAACACGTTTCCACTGAATACCCACAGGGCTTCAGCCTAGATTCTGATTTACCTTGACTTAGCAGCGTTTAGGGTACCATGGAGCCCAGGACAGCCTGAAAACCAGGCTTTAAATGCTCTGACTTTAACCCAACGGCGCATTTTCCACCTGAGAAGGCAGCCTTCATCCGAGGACCGGGGGTGGGGTTTCACAGAGACGGGGTCCCCGTGTGACCGCGCCCGGACTGGGTGCATCTCCCCCTTCCCTGCCCACTTTGTGTCCAGTGGCAGCACCGTCAGCTGTCCCCTGGGGACAGCCCTGGGCCTCACACGGACACGGGAAGAGCCCTCTGCTGTGGTGGGGCGGGTGGCTAGCGGGAAGTGGGGGACGATCTGGGGAGATGCAGTCTGTTCTTCAGAGCGAGCCGCCTCTCGGAAGCCCAGGCATCGCTCCTGCAGCAGCGCCGGGTCGCTGTCCAGTGACCAGCGTGGACCAACTTGCCCTTTCGGGTTGAGAGGCCGAGCTGCCGCTGCCCCCTGCGATCTCTGTGACGCTGGGCTCAGGGCCAAGCTTTTCATCCGTGTGTCCTCGTGCATGTCAGAGAGGCTGCCGGGCTCAGCATTCAAGGGAAAGCCTTTGGTTTTTGTGCTTTCTTGAGACAGGGTCTCGCTATGTAGCCCAGGCTGACTTCAAACTCGAGATGATTTTCCTGCTTCCACTGCAGTGTTCTGGTTTTCAGGTGTGTGGCATCACGCCCGCCAAGGGAACACTTTCGTGGGAGGGTCACACCTTCTGGTCTGCAGGTGTTTGTTTCTTCAGTGTAATCAGAGACTTCCACAGTGGTTCGGATGAGCTTGGACCAGGACCTCCCAGCCAAGAAAAATTAAATTTGACAGAGAAAAGAAAAGGCTGCTGCTGACCTGGAGTCTGATTCTACGGGTCAGAAAAATAGGATCCCCTTGAGGGAAAAGCTCCTGCGTGTTTAAGATGGTGCCTCCATCTGCTCTCATTTCTTGGATTTCCAAAGCATTCATCTTCCGAAAACTTTCAAGCAGAATCAGCAGGTCAGATGTGTGAGGATGGCGAGTGGGTTCTCCATACCCAAGGGTGCAGGGACTCCCAGCAGAGCAGAGCGGTCTGCAGCTGCAGGATGGAGATGGACTGGGAGACACCCTCAGCCCTGAGCACGCCGAGACATGGGGAGGGGGGACCCCAGAGGTTCAGGCTGCTGGGGTGCGGCTCGCACATGGCTCTGCCATGGGCAGACGGGCTGGGTGGGACTGGCTGTCTCTCTGCCCATTTCCCTGGGGACAAGGGACCAGGAACCAGGTCTATATGTACGGAGTGAGCTTGGCAGCCACACAGGGCCCAGCGCACAGGCTGGAGGTGCAAGGACAGCAGCTCCAAGCTGGGTGACTCGCTGTCCATGGCCATCTGCTCTGCCCCGAGATGTGTCCACACCAGAGCTTTGCTCCGCTGGGGACTGTGACACAGGCAGAGACCAGCACCACTCAGAGTTCTATGTAGAACTGAACTCTACTTGAAGAATTTCCTCTGGAAGTGCAGCTAAGGAGCCCAAACCCTGAGCAAACAGAAGAATCAGAGTGGACGCGAAGGTGGCCTTGGTGGTGAAGGGGCATTGCGAATCTAGACGGCAGCTCAGCAGGACAGGTCACTCGACGTTCCTCCACCCGAGCCATCAGCAGCCCCTGCTCTCCCGCAGCCCGACTGCCCCAGGGGCCGCACCAGCCTGCACAACCCCAGCCCTTACCTGCAGCCTTGAGCAGCGCGGCCAGCCTGGTGGAGCCTCGCCCTGCCGCGATGTGCAGCGCTGTGGTCCCATCATACGTGGTGCTGTCCACGTGGGCTTCGCCCTAGACCCGCCACATGAGAGCTCAGGGGTAGTCACCCTCTGTCCCCTTCTCTCGTCTGCACGAGCCCAGCCCCAGTGCTGCCCGGCTGGCTCTGTGCTTACAGGGACAGCAGCAGGGCAGGGCAGGGCAGGGCAGGGCAGGGGGACTCATGAGGTGCTGTCTGAATCCCGGCTGAGGTGTTGGACCCAGCTGAGGCTACCAACCAGGGTTTGCCCCAGAACCTACGTGGCTGAAGCCCTCACCTCGAGCAGCAGGCAGCCGGCCAGGGACACATTGTCCTGCTCCACCGCCAGGTGCAGCGCCGTGCGCCCCGACTTCTGTTCCTGGGCATTCACGTTGGCGCCTGCGGCCACCAGCAACAAGAGACACGGCAGGCTGTTGCTTGTCACGGCAATGTGGATGGCATTGAGGCCTGCAAGCACGCACAGGGCATCACACACAGGGTGGCAGGGAGGCAGTGGGGTTCAGGGCCTCCCCGCAGGGCAGGCTGGGAAGGCGCAGGAGCCACTGTGCCCATGGGACCCACAGCCTCCTGCTGCCCTGAATCAAGGATGGAACCGGGCTCGCTCGGGCCTCTACTCTCCTGTCAACTGTCCCAGACCATCCATCGTGAAGGGAACATGCCATGGTGAGAAACAGGACACCCGCAAGATGAGGCCAACTCCAGGTGGCCAAGGAGACAGCTCGGGGCGAAAATCACGTGAGGTGCACCGGTCAGTGCCGAGAAGAGCATGCTATACCAGCCACGGCTGGCCTCCTACCTTCCCTGTTGGGATGGTCCAGCAGCGGCGGCGCCTTCCGGTGCTTGAGCAGGATGCTGAGGATTCCGTCCTGGCCCTCCTTGGTGGCAAGGTGCAGTGCAGAGTTGCCCAAGCGGTCCAGCAGGCTCAGGTCGGCCCCGGCCTGCAGCAGGTCCTCTACCACGTCCTCCTGCTTCGTGATCACCGCCAGGTGCAAGGGTGTCTGGGTGGATGGAGGAGGGTGGGGAACCATGCTGTGTGTGGCCGGGCCACTCTCAGGGCCACACCGCTGGGCAGCTCCTGTCCTAGGCCCCCCGACCTCTGCAGAGGGGCTCCCGCTTCCCCATTGGCTGCTGAAGCGTGCGGACTGGACCGACACATGGTCACTCAGCCACTAGGCTCCTCAGGGAGACTTCTACACGGCTTGGTTTCTTCCTGACTGTTGATACTTCTTTCTTTCTTTTTTTTGACAGCATCAAATTTATTGATTGACTTGGAAGTCTTTGTCAGGTTAATTATGATGAACAGATTAACAGCCAGACAGACCGAAAAACATAAAACAATTACACTAAATCAAGGTACACTTCTCCATACATTGGCCATAGTGTTTTTTTTGGGTTTTTTTTGGCACCGGGGATCGAACTCAGGACCTTGTGCTTGTGAGGCAGGTGGCGGAACCACAGAGCTAAATCCCCAGCCCCGGCCATAGTATTTTTTTTAACTCATCTAGTGCTAAATTGAGTTTTCCTAGTAGGAGGCTATCTTTGGCTGATAATGTCATGTTAGCAAATTAAACCAAGGCTATGGTTTGATGAAGGAATTTAAATAAACTATTCAATAGAAACCATTCCCAAAGGTGGCAGCGTGCTCTACTGACATGGAAAATAAACTTACTGAATTAATTCCATGGACTGGCTTCATGAGACCCATCATCATAACCCCCTTCCTTTACCAAAGGGTGTCATTACGGGGTTCTACACGGCATAACCAGGACAGTGCCGCTCAGATGACCCTACCACTGGACTTAATGGGACCCAATCAGCAAAATATTCATGTGACGAAAACTTCTGAGAATGCCAATGAGATGATTTGGAAATTGTGTGTTTTCAAAAATGAGCAACATAGCCAGGGATTTAGCTCAGTGGTTTCGCCGCCTGCTGTGCAAGCGCAAAGACCCGAGTTCGATCCCCGGTACCAAAAAAAACCCATCAAAAAACAAAAATGAGCAACACAAACGCAACCATGGAGGTATCTTGCAAAGAATGGAGATCACTGAGAGAGAACAGCGATATTTTCCACATAATCAGTCTGCTTTCCTGGAGCATGGCTCTGAAATCCATCCCATCTGGTGACTAGCTGCCTGAGGTCCCTTTCCCGAGCGGAGGCTGCCCACAGCAGCTGAGGCCACGAGTGTCCTCGCTGGTGTAGCTGCCCCCGTGCATGGGATCCAGGAGGGTGAACAGTGCCCGGCCGCCTGACTCTCAGTGACAGCAGTGGTTCCGTTTAGCAGGAACAAGACCCTCATCATTCTCCTCCTTTACCTCTCTCTGGGACTACAGAGGCTTGGAATGGAATCACGTCCTCACAACTTTCGGTGTTACTGCCAGGAGCTTTCCTCTTAACAACAAATCTGTCACCAAAGGCTGTTTGCTAATCTGTATTTTCTGGAATGCTATGGGAAATGGGTAAAGGAGAACAAAGGAGATTGTAGAAAAGATACTACACCACTCCGAAATTAGGAATTACCTCTAGTTCTCATACTGTTTTATTCACACCATGCGAAAAAACTCCTATGAGTAGGAGTTCTGCTCTTTAATTTTCTCTCATAGTGCCACCAAGCTGAGTGTTCCACCCGCCGCCTGGAAGACAGCAGTCAGGCTCCACAGCCCACACGCTGTCTGCAGACGTGGGACCCGGGGCAGCCTGCAGAGCCAGCACTGGACAGCACCCTGAGTGAGCTTCTGACATGGGTGGACCTGGCCACTGCTGTTCCTGGCAGGACCGAGCACCAAGGGGGCCAAGCCAGAAGCAGCCAAGTGTCCGGCACTGGGAATGAAGTCCATGTGGGAGTACGTTTAGCCAGTACCTGCAGACACAGGAGTCCCGTGCTCACGCAGGGCAAGAGGACTCGTGTCTGGCAGGGAGAGCCACCCTGACTTCCCGATACATAGCCTTTGGTGCTATTTTAAAGCCATCGATATATAATGTATTTATAGTCATTAAAAACAAAGAAAAACACACCCATGAAAACCACCTGGTCATGTTTGATGGGAACATCACACAAATAAAACAGTTCACATCAAACACCGCAGATGGCTGTCCATGTTGGAAGGAAGGAGAGTAAAGAGGAGAATATGGTTTAGAGGGAGAAGTAAAAAAATAACCCTTAATTCTATGCCTGAGGACTCACGAGTGTGTCTCCAGGGTGGATGGGAGAGGGTCTGATCATGACAGATGGCCACAGAAATGAGCCGGGATTGGGGAGGATGTTTAAGATAACTGCCAAATAATCCACGTGGCTCAGAGGACTGTGTCATCTTCAGTCAAGAAGGGACACCCTTTAAAACAGAGTCCTAATCTCAGCGGCTTCTAGTCCTCAAGTAAAAGTTACCCCTGGGTGTGTGTGCGCGCATGCACACGCATGGGTGGGTACACACACACACACACACACACACACACGCACGCATATGCGGGTGCTCCTCTGAGAAGACACCCCAGGGAATTCAGAGCCCTTGCCAGGAACCGGAGATTCGAGGTGGGAACAGTGGAGCCATGTTCTGCCTACGGTGCCCAATCGGAAGGGCGCAGGGCCCACAGCGGGGTTTGGCTTTCACTCCAGCTCCAGGAGTCCCCATCTGCCTACCCCAGGACCCAGACAGGACTTTCTCATGTCATAAACCACACCACCCATCCTGTGGAGCTGAGCGCCCGCAGGCCCTGGTCCTGAACAGAAAAGCACTTCCTTGAGGGGACCCGAGGCCCGTGCAGGCAGTGGCCTTCAGGAGGGCTGAGAAGCCCCAAGTCCTGGGCCTGGTTTTATTCATATGCTCCAGACAGTTTAAAAAAAACAGTCTAGAAATCTGAGCAAATCAAGCTCAATGAGCCAAGTGACTTTCCAAATACCACTACCCCCCCCAGTGGCATGAAAGTTGGAAGAAGATAATCTCTTAAGTGTAAATAGAAAATCAGGCTTTTCATCTCAGTTATTTCGTGAGTCAGTGAAAAATCGTCAACCTTATTTTCCCTTGCCGGGAAGCAAACAGCCAGAGAAGCTGGTTGCTGCCTGGTCTTTAGTGGGAAAGTGATCTTACCCACCCGGGAACACCTATTCCCAGAAGAAATCCACTGAGGGCTACACAGCAACATCACAGGCTTTTAAGGCTCATTTAAAAATGTGGAAATGAAAATAAGGAAATAATTCACCATTTCCTTTAAAATAAATTAACGGTTAATTTTCTTTAAAATAATTAAAATTTATTCTTTCAAATAAGAAAAATGATTCATATCACTTGCTTTAAAAAACTGAGAATGGAGCCGGGCATGGGGGTGTACGACTGTGATCCCAGCACTCAGGAGGCAGAGGCAGGAGGATTGCTTCGAGTTCGAGGCCAGGCTGGGCTACATATTGACCATGGAGTGGCCAGTTGGGTGACAATATGTGCTTCAAATGTGTGAGGCTCTGGGTTCCCTCCCTGGCACCCCAAAATATAGAACAAACTAAACCTTGAGAGCTGAAACGGGTATCTTGACTGGGTAAATAACGATGTGTGATTGCTGGTTCCACTTTTGGAGAGAGAGAAACATGTGCTGGCGTTCGGCGCCCAGCCCACGAACCACTCCAGGCCCCGGAGATGGCTAGGAAGTTGCAAGGACCCACCCGCACCCGGCTTTGGCTCTGCCAAGCAGGTTCAGCCCCTCCTCACCCCCAAATCGTGCTCAAGCCAGCAGGCAGCCCCACTGAGTCCCCACCAACTGTTTCCTGTGCTGTCTGCAGAACGTGGGTCTGGTTTCTATTCCAGTCTGACTCGGTCAGAGCTCTGGGGTCTCCTGCTCCCCTCACCTGTAGCTATCTCTGCTATGGAAAGACACCTTCACCTCTCTGTTCTGATTTCACCCCCTTTATTTGATAGACACTGAATGTGAGGGTTGTACATTTCAGGAAACCTCAAAATTCTGATAAAGGACGGGCTTTTCAAATGTAGTTTTTTCAACTTTATTTTTCTTGACGGATGTGACCTTTTAATTCTAGGTTCTCCCTCTAAAATGCAACTTCAGGATGCTGAATTTCAGGGTCGGGTGACTAATTATACCTACAGATCAAAGGGTCCTGACCCATAACATAACATTCCCACCCAGCAGCCTTTCAGGATGCTGCCTACAGAGAGGCGTCATCGTGTCTGTGCTACTATTAACCTTCCCGACAGCACCACACACACCAAAACCAAACCGTGAGCTTTTACGGATCTGTCTCCTCGAGATCTCTGCTCACCTGGTAGAGGTCATTTCTCATGTTGATGATGTCCTCGGAAATCACACCCGCGGTCACCTGCAGCAGATCCCTCACCAGCTGGGCATGGAGGTGGATCACGGCGAGGTGTAAGATGCTGGAATGGAAACAGCGCAGGGAATTCACTAAGGTGTTCACAGACCAAGAAAGAAATTCTCAAGAAATGATCAGACTCCAAGACTGAGCCTGGCTCGTGCATCCCTGGCCTTACTCGGCCCAACCTGTTTTGAATGCAGAAAAGGTCCTCAGAGGTGAGCCTGGCCCGGGGTGTCCACCCCGGCCTCTCAGCCTCTCTCAAGGCCTGGGGACCCACACGGAATCCCAGCGCCACCTCTGCATCTGTCTGGCAGGCGCTTTCTCCTGTTTCCCCGACTTTTCTGACACTCGGCTGGAGTAGAGTGAAAGCCCACACTAGGAGCTGCTCGGCAAGGTGTAGCTCCCTGGCCCTGCCATGCTCCTCTGAATCACGGTGCTGTGCTTCTTAGGGTCTTCCTGGATCTGCAGGGGGCAGAACTCAGAGCAGAGCTCTGGGAGTGTCAGGCTGTCTCCTCCCACGTGCTCCCCAGGATGGCTGCTTGCTCCTGTGTCCAGTTCACACCACCCTGAGAGCACTCCCCCAGCTTCCCAGGCGGGGGCACTGTCCCCTGTCCCTGTGGCCCTGGACTGTGGGACCGAGCTCACAGGACAGTGGGACCAGAAGCTCAGAAATGCTGGGCGATAACAACTGTCCCTCTTGCCCTCCTGCTCTGAGCACTTATTATTAACTCGAACAACTCAGCTGTCACTAAAGCTGTGACTCTTGAGCGATTCTAGTTACCAGACTGCGCTAAGCATTCGGCACACATTGTCTTAGGCCCCGAGGAGCCAGGGAATCCTGTCCCCACTTGTGTTTGATGGAGCGACCCGAGGTGTGGGCCCTGCAGCTCCTGAGCAGAGGCGACTCGGGGTTTGCGCCGTCTTCACCCTGACTGTCCTGCACGAGGGACACAGGCACCGGCTCTGCACTGAGAGGATGAGGACTTCGATGACACTTGAGACTGTTTGGCCGCAGCTGGTGCAGGGGGGCCTCAGAAGGAACCGTGATTTCACTGCTTGGGAGCATTTTTACAAGAGCAGCTTCAGGGTTTCATTCCCGCCTTGTGAATCGGGACATGGGAAGGTGACTTCTGAGCAGCGTGATGTCTGACATAGACCTGAGGTGCGTGATCAGATGGAAGTCAGACCTCCGGGAGCCTGAGAACTTCAGAGCAGGGGGCGTCTCCTAGCAGAAGCTGCCCTCCTCCCCTGATGCCCACGCCCTTGGGGAACCTCCTCAGCCCAGAGACTTCACCTGCTCTCTTATTTCTTCTGCCTGAGGAATGACCACAGGACTCAGATTGTCACCCACAGGCAACGTGGACCTCGGGGGGAACCATCAGCCCGAGTGTGCCCCTCTGGTGCCCACCGGTGCCTGTGTTTGGGGTCCCATGAGGTGGCGGGAAGGCCCCTGTCAGCCTGTCTGGGTGTCCAGGTCTGACCGGATGTGCTTCCCCCTCCATGTACCCACTTGAGCCACAGCCTGGGTCCCCTGGACATTGGCACACTGCTAACATACGCATGCTCATCTTCCTGGGACGCATCGACTCCACGGCCCCCAGAACCGACACCGGAAACACTGCTGTCCCTCTGGGTTAACTGCTGTCCCTTGTGGGAACACACTGTAGATCGCCGCCTGGATTATTTAGCCCTAAATGCACCTTCTGCTGTTGGTGGCACCTACACAAGACCGGTGGTCTCACCATGTCCTTGGTTACACTGTGAGGACCGAGAACAAAGGTCTCTGCTTGCATCCCCAGGCTGGCTCTTTCCACGGCGTGGGCTTCCGTTTTTAACTTAGAACACAGCGCCAGGAGCTCAGTCACAGAAAAGGCCTGAACTGTGTGTGCTATTCTTGGAAGGTCATAGTTAAGCCTGGAATCCGAGGCCCCCGACCTTGTTACTTTTATGGGCCTTTGAGATGGCTTTAGAAGTCACAGTGAAAGGACAAAAAGACAGGGAGGTAGGTGGCTCTGCGGATGCACTCACGGCACTTACTGGAGTGGGGTGTGGTGTGTGACTCTAAGAGAGCACTGATGTGATCGAAAATCTGGTGAATGCCGCTCCTGAGCACCATCCACCAGAAAGGCAGCTCCTAAAACACGACGCTGGGTCCTCACCCACCTTATTCACCAGATCTGGCACCGTGCGACTCCTGGCTCTTCCCAAAGTCAAAGTGGCCGCAAAAGGGAAATGTTTTGAATGGATTCAGGACATCAAGGGAGTCACCACAGCTCAACTAGAGACTCTCAGGAAAGAGGACTCCAGAGCTGCTGCTGAAAGTGGCCAGGACGACGGGACGAGCATCAGGGGTGACAGGGCACTGTGAGGGCGATTCATGGCACCGTGTCTTTTGCTTAAACAATGGCCGTATTTATCATGCATCCCTACGGCTTCCCACACTTCCGGCCCTGGGACGGCCCTTGCCCCCTGGGATCCCCCTTACCTGTCGCCGTTCTCATCCTGCACTGCAGTGAGATGGCGCTGGACGGCCAGCAGCATCTTCACGTCCCCCGTGACCGCGTAGTCAAAGAGGGCATTGGCGTGGCGCTTGGCGAGCTGCAGGGCCTTCTCCAGGAAGAGGTTGTCTAAAATGCAGGGGCCACAGTCACGGCAAGGTCACAGCCACAGCCCGGACCCCACACCTGGGGCAGAGCTCGGCCCTGACAGCAACAGCCTCGGGGGGGATGCGCCTCCCGGCCTCGCTTTGCGTTCATGGGAAGCAGCACAATGAACACAGGTCACTGAGAACCAGTGCCAGGGACTGATCTAAAGCAGCCCGTCCACGCCTCTCGAGGGGAATTTCAGAAATGGATCACTGCCCACTATTTTAAGGGGAACAATCGGTCTCCAATCAATGGTAACTGGATATCGCCACGATTTTAAATAACTGATCTCTTGGTGTTCTGGTGCTTAAAGTTGTGAAATAGGAATTGTAGTGTCCAAGCCAAAAACAGAGTGGATGTGGAAATGCTCTGCTACCTGTGCCTGAGGAGGCGCCCATGGGCCCCCACCAACTCCAGCGCCCTTGCTCCCCACTCAGAGCGCGTGGGTTGTGGAAATCACTGCACTCAGCGGGCCTGGACAGGGCCGGACAGACAGGAAACTGCTTTCTGGACACAGCTTCTGTGAGTGGCACGGGCCCTCCCCACCCCCCAGGCAGCGCACCCCGAGCACTCCGCACCCGGAAACCTCGTCCCCTCGTCCTCTCTGCGCACGGCTCCGGTCAGCGGTGCCCTGTGGGTCCCGGGGCTGGGTGCACCTGCCTCCTCCTCGAGCTCTGGGGCTATAATCACCTCCCCATCTTCGCAGGCCTCACAGCCTGCAGGGTCATGGTCACATTCAGTGTTTACGGTTTCTGAGGGAAATGCAAAACATCAGCTGCTTCTCATCAAGCCTGCTAATTAAGTTAAAATGCGCTGTTGCAAGTAGGTCATGTAAGGGCAAGAGGAGAGTTTACTGCAGAGGGAGAATAAAAATATTAATTTATAATTCTTCTAAAACATTTCAGGTCATAACTAGCACACTTTGGGGTTTATTTATTTATTTTTGAGACAGGGTCTCACTATGTAGCCCAGGGTGGCCTTGAACTCATGGTGATCGTCCTGCCTCAGCCTCCCCATTGCTGGGATTACAGGCCTGCACCACCATGCTTGGCTAGGGACTATATTAAATACTCACTTCTATACATTTTTAAACTACACTTCTAAAATTTAGGTGTCATTTATCTGTAAAGGAGGACAATGAAATAAAGCTCTTCTGTGTATGGGAGGGAAGTGAAATTTTTTAAATTCTTGAAAGCAGAGCAGTGATTTTTCCTTCATCCTAGTTAACAGGGGAAGCCGCAGAGACGTGGTCTCAATTTGCATTCCTCGGTGTGCACTTGGCAGTTTGCTGACTGTTTCCGGTCCAGCTATGTTGTCTGACCAGGCTTGTGGGCAGATCTGGTTCAAATCCCGGTTCTGCCACTGACTCTAGCGAGTACATGAGTGTTTCTGAGGGAGACCAAGCGTTCTCCTTACAGAGCAGTCACAGAGCCCATAGCGAGGGTCTCCTGTATGGAGACCTGCATGCTCTCCCGTACGGAATGAAATGTGGGCTGATTGCAGAATGAAAAGCAAAGTCAAATTTAAAAAAAAGGAAAAGATTGTAAAGATTGGAGTCAAGACACGTACAAGTCCCTGGCATTAAAAAGGAGCTACTCACCATGCTTCATGCCGGTGGTGGACTTCGTGGTCCCGGGGTGGAAGGCGACCCCGCCGTACGTGGGGAATCCATAGTGTGGGAAGCCGTACCCTGACATGGTAAGGAAAATAAATGTGGCCTCGGGGCAACTTTAGGCCAAGGTCTGCTGATCCTAGTGTGGGTCAGACACACTTGAGGGGACACAGGATGACCAGACGTCCACAACAGCAAGGCTAAACTGAGGCAAGTCAGGCTGACCCTCAACTCCCAGTGATCCTCCTGCCTCAGCCTCCCAAGTGCTGGGATCCCAGGTGTTCGCCACCACGCCCAGCTATACCAAAATACTCAGAGAGGTGTTTCCTGCATGACAGGCCTTGGATGGCTGTTTCTCTTCTTCCAGGGTTTGGGACCATCTGTGTCCCCTCCTCCCCCTCCGGGTCCATGTCCCAGGACCTCTGGGGATGTGTGCAACTGCAAGCGTATGGAGCTCTTCATGCTGTACATTTTCTCCTATACTGCACACACACAACTACGATAGTTTGATTTGTAAATCAGGCAGTGAGAGCTCTGACTAATAATAAAACAGAACAATTATAATAAAACACTGTAACAAGACTCTTGTTACTGTGGTCCCTCCCTCTACGGCGTCAAGGCCAGCACGGTGGAGTTGACCACAGTAACTGAAGCCACAGAAAGTGAAACTGGAGAAGGGGCGGCTACGGTATTGTGAAATGAACACGCACTTCTCTGAAAGACAAAAGTACATTTGTAGGGAGGCTTTCATGGGACTGAGACCTCCTATTTGGTGATATTGCAGCCACTGCACCCACGGGGTTGCCCGGAGATCCCAGGCCGGAGAAGAGGCCCCGCCCACCCGGAAACGCTGCGCAGGCAGCAGCCTCTCTGGTACCTGGTCCGGCATTGCCAGGGGCCCCTGCTCCGCCACCGCCGCCACCGCCGCCACCGCCGCCGAACATGCCCCCGCCTCCTGCGCCTGCGCCGCCACCGCCGCCGAAGCTGTCCGAGAAGTTGGGCATCAGCTTCTGCCGCTTCCTCTGCACTTCCTCTTTGTCTGCGCGCACAGCAAGGGAAACGGGAAGAAAGATGGATTCATTTACAGCAGCCGCCACACACAGGCTATGATTCTCAGGGTATTTTACATCAAACGGGAAACAGAAAGCACGCGAGGAGGAAGAGAGACCATGTCTACTCCAATGGGCCGAGAGCTCCCCAGGCCAAGGTGGATGTAGTACAACGAGGTCAGGCTGAGATGAAGCACAGAAAGGGTAAGTGGCATTCGGTCACACAAAATCCTCTTCCTAATTGGCCAACATTTTCTGTGCATCCACAGGGAGATACATGCAGGAACAAAGAGAATCACGACACAGTGTCCGCTGGTGAGGACAGGTGGCCGGAAGAGCCTGGCAGGACAGCTGTCATGGTAACAGGGTAGAGGTGAGGTGCTGATTCATGGACAGGAGGAGGAGCCAGAGGACAGGAAGTGGAGGAGAAAGGGCCCAGTGGTGATGGGCTCAGCAGAGGTGAGTGTGGGAGTTCCTGGGTGGTGACCATGGGGCCACCCTGGGGTACAAGGCTTCCATGCTGCACTAGGAGAGCTCCCGACTGTCCCTGGACACCGGAGTGGCATGCATAGGTGGTCACCTGCCCTCAGGACCTGCTAACAAGTTGGTGCCGGGTAGGATGGCACTGACAGCTGGTGCTGGCCATGTGGTCCATAACGGTCTCCGAGATGGTGGAGATGTGTGGACCCCAGACCCCTGAATAGATGGACCTGTTGCCCTGTGTCCTGTCTGAGTTCTGTCACTGCCTCTGTGGTCTGCTGCCTGTTCCTACTTCTCTCTGTTTCCCTTTATTTCTGTTCTATGATTTTCCTACCCTGTGTTTCATTTTCTCCCTTCCCTCCTCTGTGTGATTGTTTTTTTTTTTTTTTTGGTACTGGGGATCGAATTCGGGTCCTTGCGCATGTGAGGCAGGCAGCAGAACCACTGAGCTAAATCCCTGGCCCCTCCCTTCCCTCTTCTGGGTGTTTACATTAAACAGTCAACATGGTATTCGTATTTCAGTCAGGGGCCCAAAGCTTAACAACTGTCCTGTTTCTGATTCTTCAGTGTCCATTTTTGTCATTGCGTTCAGAAAGATCCTGTCTTGTTTCTAACCCCGTGGTGGTGTGGGTCAGCCTGGGGCTGAAGAGAGGGCTGTCGGGTGACCAGATGTGGAACATTTCCCCACCAGTTACACCATGGTTAATCAACAGCCAAGCTCATTGCGCATATAACAGTTGTTCTCCCATAGAATCTCAGTTCACTATAGAAATAGGAATCACAGCTGGGTGCGGTGGTGCACGCCTGCCATCCGAGCACTGTGGGAGGCCGAGGGAGGAGGATCCTAAGTAGCAGCCCAGGGTGGGCAACTTAGTGACACCCTCTCTCAAAGTAAAAACTAAAAAGGGCTGGGGATGTAGCTCGGTGTGAGGCTTGGGCACCCACAAGACCTCAGGCACCTCGAAGGGGGAAGTGAGAGGAGGTGGGAAAGGCTGGGAAGGGCCGGGCAGCTGCCCACGCCCACCAGCACCCAGGGGCCGCACACTGGGGCTTCCAGGAGACGCAGGCAGAGGGGTGGGCACACCCACACCTGACCTGGCTGTGGGGAGGTCATGCCCAGGAGGACACACGGCTCTCAGGAGCATCTTCCGATGCTTCTGCCCAACAGGGATCCCCTAAGGCAGGGGCTGCTGCAGGTGACACCCAAGGCCAGGCACAGAAGCAGCTGCTATGGCAAAGCACAGTTCTATCCTGGGCTCCTCGGGGTCAGTGGGCTTGGATAAGGAGACACCTTGAAGCACTGATCCACTTGGCGCCCGCTGTGTCTCAGCTGATTCTCCCCCAGCCCTCTCCAGTCTGCTCTGGCCTCTACGGGGCCCCTGGGAGCCACAGGACTTTCCCACAGGAGCGAGATGTGGCCTGCTGTGCTTTACACCATGCTCCTCTCTGCCCCGTCCCGCTCTTCCTCCCTGTTCTGTGGGGCAATTGCATCACAGCTTCCTGCTCTGGGAAGTGACCTCAGCCCCTCCAGGGCCCGTGTGAAACCCCAGCTGCCGTGCTCGCCCTCCAAGCCCTGCTTGGCCTCCCCTCCACCTGGGGCTGCATCACGAGGTCACCAGTGACACCAGCGGGACATTGCTGACTGCCAGGCTCTTTGCCTAAGCAGTGACCCTTAGGCTTCATCTCCACTGCCTGACCCCAAATCACTCAGGAAACCCTAGATTTTCAAATTCAAAGACAAGTTCTCCAGGGTCTGAATCTCATACAAGTTTAGTGGAGATAACATTATTTGTAGAGGCCTGAACTAATTCCATGACCTCAGATTCATGTATTACTGTCTCTCCTCTAAAAATCCAGGCCATTGATCGGCCAGTTCCCGGGAAGCTGTCCAGGAGGTGACGAGTGGACCCTGAATCAGCGCAGCATCTCAGCAGACCAAGTGCAGGACCCTCAGCCACCGTTACCTTTGATTTCGGGGTAGTAGAGGAAAGGCTTAGGCTCGCTGGTTTCCAAATCCGACTTCCTCCGAAGCTGGACAAACACAGAAGCCGGCTTGGTGATGTTGATGTCTTTATACTTCGGGGTTTTGAAGACGATGGCAAACTGCAGGACACAAGGAAACACATGTTGGTGTTGGGTTGTGGCGTTTTTGGGAGAAATGCTTCACATTCTCTGTTTTTATTTAAACCCAGTGTTTAAAGTGTGCTCTGAGAACGCAGCACCCTAAGGACGTTCCCAGCTCAGTATTCTACACCTGCACGCTTCTGTGACACCACCGCTGTGGAGGTGAAACACACTGTGCCCGTGGACCCCGCGTCTCCCTTGCTTCATTCGCCAGATATTTCAGTTGTCAGCCAGTTGCAATGACCACACATACAACGTTCACTGCATATGCTTATTTCTCCTCTTTCAAATCAGCCTCACAAGCCTCCAAGACCACTTCTAGCAACGTCAGAAAGGCTGGGTACTTGCTTTCCTAGCCAAGGAGGAGAACAAGGGCTATTTCATCCCTGTGGTGCTGGGATACTTAGGCAATTCACCATTTGTTAGTTTGGTTTATATTTTACTACGTAACAGGAGTCTAGATTTGGTAAACTACACAAAAGGAACACAGAATGGTGTACACGGATAACTGTCCTTGCCCCCACTGCCCCGAATCCACCAACCCCTAAGCCTGGCAGCCCCAGCCTCATGGACTCTGTCTTTCGTTTGCTACATCCCCCTCTGGTTTCTCTGTGAACAAGGTATCATTTTACACTCACGCTGTTCTATAACTATCTTTTAAACGGTAATGTTGTACCTTTGCGGTCTCCCTCCGTGAGTTCAGAGTATTCGTTCTTTTTAATAACTGCATGGTATCTTAGAAATGCCATGATTTACCGAACTGTTGCTTATTGATCAGCATTTGAATTGTTCTCAGTTTTTTATGAAAACAGTGTTTCTCAATCATTCGTAAGAGGGAGAGAGTCATCGTGAAGGGGAAGGCTCAGCATTTTTGTCTCCTGGTCATACCATGGGCTGTCACTGGGGAGTCCTAGTTCATCATAGAAGCCCCCTCCTTTCTATACTTTCCAGGGCAATACTGTCTCACAGGCCTTGCACAACGCTTCAACAGAACACTTAGCAGGCTTTCATGGAAAGGCACCGCCCTGGGACAGAGAACCAGGCCCCAAATGAAATGTCCCACCTCAGCCCCGTGGTCCAGGGAGAACTGGCCTGCAGTTCTACGGTGGGACAGATTTCTAGATGGCTTGAGAGTCTCAAAAATAGTACAGTTTGATGGATGCTGGGTCAGCACTTCTGATGTTTTTGGTTGTCATATACAGAAAACAGGGACTGAATTTCAGCAAGGTGAAATGTAAAAGATGATGATGATCCTCTTACTTGTCTGTGAACATCTGTGGGGGAAAAGTCTCCAAATCCTTCCCAAATGCCTCCGTTTTCCTCCTCTTCATAGAACCGAATCTGGATGTCATCTGCAAAGTCACAAGCAGGCATGTCACTTCACAGTGTGACAGGATGTAAAGACAGGCTGGAGAGCCAGGGTGGCGCAGGGTTCTACCTACCAGACACTCCCGTTTCTTGAAAATAATTAGTGTAGTAGATTTAACATTTACAACTTATACAAACACGTTTTTAAAAAATTCCTCACCACAGGGATAGGCCGTTAAGTTTCACTTCCTGTGGCAGAATCTTAGGGTTAACTGGTCGACCTGACCTTTCTCTTGTTCAGTTTTGAACCTGGCCCCCTCTCACTCCTGAGAGACAGAGGCACCGGGAGGAGTATCAGAGCCCCAGATGAGGGGCACCCCACTATATAGCTGCACACAGCAGTTAGCTCCCATGGAGCTTACAGATACTGTTCCAACCGCTTTCTATGTAAATATCAATTAATTTAATCCTCACCATGACCCTGGGAGGTGGGTGTTCTATTATCCTCACTTTGTGGAAGGGAAACTGGGGTCTGAAGAGTTTCTTAAGTAACTTATCCAGGTCTGAACAGCCAGCGAGAGGAGAAGCAAGGATTTAAACACAGACACCAGGTTTCAGAGCCCGAGCATTTGCACACTCTACCCCGCTGCTCCCATAATCTTTCCTTAGCCCCCATTGAATAAGCGGTCAAAATACCCAGGTGGTCAGTTCACTTGGGATCCAAGTGTTCTTTATTTCTGCAGAACTAGGGTTGTGTAACTCAGGTTGGCAACCCCCTGGCTTCACTTCTCGTTTCACAGGAAAGACACACCTCTGCCTGATGAAGTGACACACATACTTCCATTTTAGGGGAGGGTTAGACAAGCGTGCCACCATCTCCTGGTCCATTCCTTCACCTGCAGGTTGGACTCAGTTTTTCAGATTCTTTAAGCTAAGGACACAACTTCCCTGCTAGGCCAGCAGTAATGACGATTAATGCAAACAAAAGCAACTCAGCCCAGAAATGAGTACTACTCAGGAGGGTGGGCAGGAGGAAGGCCGAGAGCAGTGCAGGCAGAGTCAGCGGTCACATTGTTCAGAGAAGAGAGCATGTTCACTTTCCAACCTCATCCCACTGTTCCCTGACTTCCTGTCTCAGAGCGTCGATCCTCTGCTGAGAGTTATTTTACAGCTGTGCTACCTTTACTGAAGGCCGATTTCCAGTTCCGAATCTGCTTCATTTGAAAATTGCCTACTTTGCGGTAAACAGATGTTTATTATACTGCACATTTATCATCTTATTTTTAAAAAAGAGTGAAGGTTGAGAAAGTAACACATAATCTCCGTTTTCACTAATTTGTTGATCTTCTAATGGCTCTATGAGAATGAGGGCCAACAACCTTGTCTAAAATGACCCTGGAGGAGGAACGTGCTCTGAGAGCATCCTGTCCTCAACTCTTTCTCCACTGGCCTCCCAGTGACCGTGGAAGCAGCCGGAGAAGCTCTCTCAGTGCCTCGAGAGAGGACCACAGAGTGCACAGAATCAGCAGCTTTACACGACGGACGTAAGGCTTGTCACCGATTCTGTGCGCGCGTGCACCAAGCACCGGCGGTTATCCATTCACTTTAGTTCAACAGAGCACAAAAAACAAAACGGAAGGTTTAGAAACACAGGTGATCGCTAGTTAACAATTATCACTATTTTCTCATCTCTCTATTTCTGTAGGAAATTTAAGATGGATCATACAGTTGGGGTTGTACAAAATGACAGACAGTTGACACCTGGAGAAGGTGCTGGTGGCGGAAGGGCCGCCGAGCAGTGACCCAGAGACCACTGGAGTCGGACTCCACGTCCAGTCAGTGTCCTTACCTTTCTGCACCTTGTCACACAGGAGGTAAATCTCCTCCCCACCAGTCACGCAGCCGGCAGTCCGGTCCATCCTCACGATTTTCAAGTTGGATGCATTGGGGGCCTCTGTTCAAAGGGGAAAACAGCACACATCCAGGTCCAGGTCTGTCCCCAGCCTCCCGCTGATTCCTGGGGGCCCCGCCGGCATGCCCTCCCCACCCCGGTCCGAGCACATGCTGTGTCCCGTGCTTTAGCCGAGACACAAATGTCACAAAAATGTTCCCAAGGTCCTTAGCTCGCTCACAGTAATCCAGCCACACGGTATCACCCAGACAGGTGAGGAACAGTGAGGTGGAAGAAACCATTGCATCTGTTTCTCCCTCTAACCAGAGAGAGGGACTGACACAGAGAGCAAGAGCATCCCTGATGTCTCAGGAACCGAGCCAGTGGGTTTCTAGAATTGCAGTGAGGTCAAAAATTTAACCCCAAACCCATTCCCATGCTAACTCTGTACCATCTAGAAGAGTCCTAAACAATTTAGGAGAAGCACCATGTTGTGAAACTATGTACTGGTTTTTATTGTACAAAGAAAATGGAGATGTTTTATTTCTTTTGCCCAAACTAAATCAGGATTTGTGTGGTTAAGGGCTAAAAGTTTCATGTGGAAATAGTAGCACGCTTCCTTTTTCTACTCCAACCGCTGCAGTTGAAGGCGATCTGTGGTGGATGGGTCAGCATCATTTTATAAACCTTTCTCTTCCCTTCAAACTTGTTTAAAGAAATCCATTAGCTGTGCTGCTAGAAGCCTAGAGTAATCTACTTACCCCCAATTCTATAAAGTATTCAGTGAGCCCAAATACTACACATGCAGGCTTTCTGGAAACACCTGTGAATAAATGCCATGCATACCAGGAACGCTGCATGGTCAATGATAAACTAGGGTAAACTCTGAGGAAGGTCTAGGAACTGTTCTCGGAGAGGAATTGCAAGTCCTACACCACGTGTTCAGGTAGCCTGAACTTCCTGTCTTGTAAGGCGATCCCACTGATGCCACGTGGGAACGAGCGTAAGAATACAGTTTCCCTTCATCAGCCTCCCTGCAGGGTCCCCAAGAAAAACACTGAGAAACCTGTCCCGCCCAAGGCGCCGATCCTTCCTCACGGGGATGTGTTCAGGAGGCAGAGGTTTGGAGCTGCAGTGAGATGCAAGGACTCACCCGAGGAAGGAGAGCTACATTTCTGGAGTCTGTCTTAACAGTGTCTGACCCGGCGCCCCCAGACCTTTCAGGCTAGACCGCCGCGTTCCCATCCTGCAGGCACGGAGGGCGCCTGGGCACTCACTGCTGTCGTAGATGGCGTCGGACACCACGGGCTCCAGGCGGCGTGTGAAGCTGCCGGTGCTGTCGGGCAGGAAGGCGGTGAACATGAGCCGCACCACGCTCAGGTCCATCTCCTTGGTCTGCTGCAGGGCCGCCTGGCGGATCAGCTCCTTCTCCCGGTCTGCGGCAGCCGTGCCCGGGGGGCGGGGAGGTGGGCATTTAATGTGCACATTTGTATCAACTTAAAAACCCACTCCTGCTCTTCTGAACTTTTGTATTGGTGCTAAGATTTTTTTAAAAAAATCATTCCCTTGATGTCAGCCACAATTCAAGGTATCCAAGGACGGTATCTTGCATTTTTCTGGATTGTGTAAAAACCGTGCCTGAGTATCTGCCTGCCTCCTCTGTCCCCCGACAGTGAGTTATTAAGGCCAGAGGACGCGACGTGGCCGGTAGAGCAGCCACCACGTATCAGCGACACTGAAGGTGTGAGAAGTGCCCACGCCCGGAGCACAACCCCGGGTCCCCCACGGTGCCCGACAGGGCTCAAGGTGGACTTGGAAGGCCCTAAGTGGCCCAGCCACATTAGACTCCGTCCCTCCCGGGGTTTCTCAGGCTAGTGGACAGGGTCCTGGTGAGTTTCTGCAGCCTAAACAGTCACATTTCAAGTGCTGAGTCCTGGCGGGGACACCAGGGCCAGTGACGGGGTCTGCAGCAGGAGGAGTCCCCTCCAAGTGGGGCAGGGATGGTGGACTTTGCCTGCGTGGAGGGGAATAGGAAGTGTGCGGGACTGGGAGAGGGAAATTGGGGTGCTTCTGGGGGACACGGACCAGAGATGCAGCCTGGGGCCAGCTCCTGGGAGGCCCAGTGCCAGCTGCAGAACTGGGTTTGGTAGGGAATGGGGACCTCTGGCCATGGTGAGATGCAGGTTCGGGAAGATCCACCCAGCCCCAGGGTGGAGACCGGACTGGAAGTAGGAGGAGATGACAACAACCGAAGCAATGGGTGAGCAGGGCCGGGGTGAGGGAGTGGCTGGGCCAGGGCCTGGGGCCGGAGGACGGGAGACAGGACAGGACATCGCGAGGGCCTGCGGTGCTCAGTGGGAGCGGGACCCTGGGCTTGGGTTCGGACTGTGTGCGGAGGGGAGGGCGAATGTGAAAGCAGAAACAGGGTGCAAGGAGCAAGTGAGGGGGAGGCACAAGGGCAGCACGCATCTGTGTTCATGACGCGGCCACCTGGAGAGCCCTGAGAGGCTCCTGTTCCCCTCTTGGGACCAACGACGCCAGGGGTAACCAGGTGGGAAGGGAGGCTGGACAGGTGTGACTGCATCGGGGCTTCAGGAGCCGAGACCGGGTGGGAGGGGCCGGCACGGGAAGGCAGGGGCGGGAGGGGTCGCCCGAGAACCTCGTGGGGACACAGGCCGGGCTGACACTCACCCGTGAGCTGCCGGTCACCTCCGCCCCCCTCGGCTTGCAGGTAGGCGAGGTCGGGGTGCACCAGGAGCCCGGGGTTGTAGCCCCTGATGCACGCGTCCGTCATCCGCGTCTCCAGGGTCTCGAACACCTTCTTCTTTGTCACATGGAGGATGCCCAGGTTGGCGAAGCTGGGGGGAAACAGTAACATCAGGGAAACAACCACAAGTTACATGGGGGCACTGGCTTCGCCTCAGCTCACGGCCCAACCAGATCAGGCAGCATTCGGAATCATCAGGGGGCATTCGGAATCCAGGCTGGGAGCTGGGCCACACACAGCACAGGGCCAAGCCCTCTGTGGGCCGGGCACTTACTGCACCCAGAGAACTGAAAACCTCTAAGTGGATTCACCAAAGGAAACACGACTGTGAACAGCTGCACCCCAGGGTTTGCTACCAAATGAGTCCGAGGCAAACTCAGACCCGCCCTTGGTCCTCAGTGTTTCTGAGACTTTCAAACAGTGCTTTGGGAAGGGGAGGATATGGGCTCACACATCTTAACAAGGACCTTTTACCTGGGTTCCTTTTAGGGTATTTTCTACAGGATTCTATAGAAATAATTTCAAGTTCCAAATATATACTAACGTTTTTTAAGAATAGAAGGAATGTTATATTTGGAAGATTTTTTGGGGGTCATTCTTGGGTTTCTGGATGGGATTTAAAGTCTCCCCAGGAATCCCATATCCTCTGGGTTTTCCATAAGATCTGGATTATTTACTGTCACCAGAATTGTCATCGAATTCTACATAAGCTCAGGTTTGAGCGCTTGCTTACATACAATGGGACACGGAACCTCTTATTTCACAGGGGGTTCGTATCTCAAGAACACAGTACAGTACATCTGCTAAATAAAGCAGCTGGAAGGATTTTAAGAAGATATATACCAGTGGTGGTGCACGCTTGTAATCCCAGCACTTGGGAGGCTGAGGCAGGAGGATTGCCATGTGTCTAAGGCCAACCTGGCTACATAGTGAGTTTAAGGCCAGTTGAACTACATGGCAAGTCCTTCTCTCAAAACAAACAAACAAGCAAAAATATGTGTGTACTGCTCCACTCATCCTTGTTTTAAAGTCCATGAAATAAAGATGGAATGTAATATGATGTAATACAACAAAGAAATGAATCAGACGCCCTTTGTCAAGGAGACTCATTCACTCAGCAAATATCAGGTCCTTTCCAGAGCCACAGAGTCCCGAGGCCCATGTTGGAGTAGGGAGCATGACAGAGTTCACACACCAGGTCGATGACCACACAATGTACAGAAAGGGTAATGTGTGCTATCAGGGGGCATAGAGTGGGAATGAGGAGCAGGAGAGATGGAGCATAAGGCCCGTGTGAGGTCAGAAAAGGCTCAGGGGAGTTGGCAGCAGAGCCTTGCTCAGAGGAGGTGAGGGTTTCATGCCTGGGTGGGAAGCACCTGCAGGAGCATAGCAAGTGCAAAGGCCCTGGGGTGGCACCGCATGGGGTTTCCAGAGACAGCAGCAGCAAGGTGGCCAGGGTGGGTGGAGCACAGGCCCAGGGTGGGCTGGGCATGAGGAGAGGGCGGATGAGTGGACACCAGGGTCTGTGAGCTGCCGGAGGACCCTGCTCACTCTGCCTCTACGCGCACAGGTTAGCAGAGGCAAGAATGCGCTGAGTGGACGAGTGGGTGGAAAGAAACTAGAGCAAGTGAATGGGGACAGCCAGGTAGAGCGGGCAGGGAGAGCAGAGAGGTGAAGGCAGGATGGATGAGCACCAGCCCAAGCCCCGACTTCCAGACAGAGGACAGCAGCGCTGCGAACAGCGCGAGGCGCGGGCTCGGTCGGCGCTGTGGGACATGCGAGGGCGGGCGGAGACTGTCCTGCAACAGGCGGACGTGTGCGGAGCCAGAGCCCCCCGGATGTCACCCCTGCCGTGCCCACACCGAATCCAACCTCCTCCCAAACCACTGGAGCACACACGGGACCGCGGCTGTCAGGCTGGACGGCCCAGGAGAGCCGGGCATAGCTGCCACCTCCCCGAGGGAGGACAGAGCTGACACTTGGGAGGCTGAGGCGGGCAGGACACAGGCCGGCACTGCGAGTGGACTCAGGCCCTGGGGGTGTCCTCGAGCCTTCAGTGGGCGGGATGGGAGTGCAGGTGAGGAGACACCAGAGCAGCGGGAGGAACAATCCTCGCATGGACCGGGGGCTGGGCGGGGTCACAAACCTCCCAGGACTCGGAGCAGGTGTTGCCTTTGCCACAGAGCAACACCCGGGCTCCTCTGGTCTCCCACAAGCGCTCAGCATCGGTCCAGAAGAGCCACACGTGCCCAAAGGTAATCCTATCTGATCCCCAGAAATACTTAGAGGCATACAAAAAATCGGCCGCATAACAATCCACAATTCACAATGTCTGCTGTCAATAAAAGTTACAAGGCATGGAAAGAAGTAGAAAGACATAATTCATAACGAAGTCCCATGCAAGAGACACAAACTGCAGTTTCTGATGAGAAAAAGACACTAGATGATATGGAGGATACACTAGACACTGGACAAAAGGATACGTGGACTTGCAGATGTAGCAATAGAGTTACTCAAAATGGAACACAGAGAAAAGAGGTTTCCAGAAGAGGAGGAGGAGGAGGAGGAGGAGGAGGAGGAGAAGGAGGGAGGCTTGTAGCAGCACTCTGGGTGTGGCTCAGCGCTAGTGTGTGCTTTGCATGCACAGAGCCTGGGTTTGATCCTGGGATGGAGAGAGGGAGAGAGAAAGAGAGAAGGAACAGAAGCCACTAGTGAGCTTAGAACAATTGCAAATGGCCAAGTAAACAGAATAAGAGGAAGAGGAGTGAGCAGGAAAAGCATTTGAAAAATGAATGTTTAAACAAAGTTTTGAAATTTAGTAAAAATATAAGCCCAGAGATCCAAGAATCTCAAGGAAGCCCAAGCACAGGAAACACGAAGAGGCCAACACAAAGTGCATCATGATCTGCGAGCTTAAAGCTGGTGACGAGGAGGGGACTTGAGGTGCGGCTGCAGGACAGAACAACCTGTGATGTGTGAGGGACAGAGATGAGGGACAGGAGCCCTCCGTGGAGACCAGGACAGACGGCCATGCCGCAGGCGGAAGGACAGGGGAACTGCCAGCCTTAGATTCGCTGCCCTGCACACACTCCCGAGCAACAGAGAGGAAGTGAGACTCTCCGGGCACAGGAGGACTGATGGCTCTGTAAAGAAAGCTGCAGGAAGCGCTTTAGGCTGGAGAAAACGAGGCCAGGTAAAAATCCTGACCCACAAGACAGATGAGGAGCACTGCAAATGATGAGTGTGTTTAGATAACATAACTTTTCTGTAATTTAAAAAATTTTCTTAAAAGATACTTGACTAAGGCCAAAGTGAAAAACAATGTTTTGTGGGATTTATATCATATATATAGTGCAAAGTGCAGGAGACAACAGCACAAGGCCCAGAGAAGGGATTTGAGTGTATATTGTCCCAAGGTTCGCACACAACACATGACAGGTGTAACTTTACCTAAAGGGTCAAGATGTACAGCATCAACCCTAAAATAGCTGCTTAAAAATATAACAGGATATAAACCAAAAGGGAGCTAAAATGAAATCATAACAACCCCAAAACAGAAAGAAAAAGAAGGCAGAAAGAACAGTAAAGAGACGTGATAGGCAGAAACAAGATTGAGCAGGACGGAGACTTAAACATGGCCATACCAACAATCACACTGGTGACAAGCAGTCTAAACACCCAATTAAAAATCACAGTGTTAGGCTGGATAAAAAAGTGCGAGTCAAGTCTGCAGTGTATGTGCATTCTGAGTCTAAATGCACAAAAAGGTTAGAACTAAGAGGACGGACAGAAAGCGTTCTGTACTAACACTAACGAAGGAAGGCTGCAGTAGATTTCACTGCAAGCAACAGCCCAAGGATAAAAGAGGGCCATTTCACAAAGATAAAGGCATCATCCATCAAGAGAGCCCGAGAATCCTAAACATTTGTGCACTTAATAAAAGAGGCTCATAGGGCTGGGCATTTAGCTCAGTGAAGCCATGCCTGCCTCGCAAGTGCAAGGTCTTGAGTTTGATCCCAGAGACTGGGAAAAAAAGAAAAAAAGAGGCTCATAATAGAAGCAAAATTTTATAGACTGCAAAGGAGAAACAGACATATCTGTATACAGTGTTGCAGATTTTGACACCCCTTCTCAATAACAGGACCAGCAGACAGAAAACCTTGACAATGTAGATGACTTTAACAACTCTGTCAAACAACTCCACTCAACAAGAGTTTATGGAATATCCACTCAACAAGACAAGGATAGACATGCTTTTTTAAGGACAGAAGGAAAAATTGCTAAGACACACCATGTTCTGAGCCATGAAAGACGTCTCAATAAATTTAAAAGGATATGAATCATACCAATTATTCTTTTACCACAAAGGAATTAATCAGATATCAATAGCCAAAAGATACCTAGGTGGGGATCCATCTAAATCAAGACTGGCCACTTGACAAGTAATAGTTGATGGGGGTAATGAGTGTAACCACTGCTAATTATGCTGTTCTTTCTACTTTTTGGTACCAGGGATCACACTCAGGACCTTGTGCTTGGGAGGGAGGCCCAGTGCCACTGAGCTAAATCCCTGTCCCCTGTTCTTTCTACTTTTACACACTTTTGAAAATTTCCATAAGAAAGTGTAAAAGAAATGATAGCAGGTTATTATGAATATATGTGAAAGAAAAATTTAGGATTACAAATAGGAATTCATAAGAATATGAAAAGGTCCAATTACTCTGAAAACAACTTGGTGGCTTCTCATCGAGACAGACACAACCTTAGCCTTCCTTGCATTCCACTTCCCCCTCACACAAAAGGTGCTTTATCATGAAAGCTAGAAAGAAACAAAGTGTCCTTCAGACAGAGGTGGATAAACTGTAGCACTGATACAATGCAGTGCTACTTAGTGATTGAAAGGAATCAACCACTGAAGCCAGGCAGGGAGGCTGCATGTTCTACCCTTCCGGCTGCAGGGAGCCCTAAAATGCAAAACCAGAGGGTTGAGGGCTGGGGATTTAGCTCAGTGGTTCCGGCGCCTGCCTCGCAAGTGCAAGGTCCCGAGTTCGATCTCCGGTACCAAAAAAACAAACAAACAAAAAAACCAGAGGGTTGGGGAATGCACATTTCCCAGGGCTGCTGGGCTACAAAGGAACACTGGAAGCCTGGGGTGACGGCACTGTTCTCTGCCTCCCCTGTGGGAGTTAAATGAGTATTTGTCGGGATTCAGAAATGAACACTTTAAGGGATTACTATTGCAGTAATTAAAGTCTACTTCCATAAATTGAGAGTTCAAAAAAATTTTTTAAAAAAAGGTTATCACAGCCAATAAAGGAACTGGGACTACAATCCTGTTTCTTCCTTAAAGTGCTACATTCTGTTGCCTGACCACAGCATAAGCATTATCTTAGAATTATTACAACACAGCTACAGGATCTGGAACCTGGGATCCATGCTGTCCACAGCAAACCCTCCGGCGGGTCCTGGTGACCTCTGGTGCACACACCTGCCTGCATTGTCCTGCCCGACCAGACTGGAGTCTGGGGGAGCGCCTGGCACACCCGTGTGCACACAGCGACACAGGGGACACTGGTAGCCAGGGCCAGACCTCTGCACTGTTCCAAAGATTTCCATACTCAGAGTCTTCCCTGGCTACATCTGAGTCCCTGTCCTTGGATTGAGATTCGGAAGTGGCCCCTTTCTGTGCCAGTCATCCTTTCAGGGCCGGGACACTCTGTCCTCCTGGGGTTCAAATGCAGCCTCTGCCACACGCCCACCTCAGCCCATCCTGGTCACCCTCCAACCTGCACCTCTGGGAAATGCCAACCCGCAGCCATGGGCCTGCAGGACAGCCCTTCCACATGGTCCCCCTGGGGTAGACCCACCGGTTCTCCTTTGTATTCGGCCATTACGGATCAACTTCTAATACTTACCAGCCAAGGAAAAACTGTGTGTATTAATTGAAAAAAGAAAAAGAGAGTTTGAATAAAATGTCACGGACCTGAAATGTGATTGGAAAATTGTTGATATTCCAAGTTAGAATGAAATGTCAAACTTAGATTATTTTTGATCAAGAAAGGTAGTAAAGGCTAAGTAAATAAATAAGAAAGACAAGGTACAAATTAATTAAAAAGATTAAAAAGACTTGGATATTTAAAACATGAATATTTTAATATAAAGTAGCTTTGAGAAGAGAAAGTAAGTTTATTGAGAATTTATGCTGAGAGAGAAGTGAAGAGGAACACTGCAAAGAAAGGTAATTCTTTTTGGTTTTGATAACTGAAGGCTACTTCTCTCCCCAGTGCCATCTTTATGCATCTTCTTTGATGTGTTGGGCCTAGGCCTGCTGGGACTCTGCACTCTTAGTCTAACCTGTATTGTTGAAGACAGCTTGTCTTGGTGCTATTCCTGACATGGACGAGCCTGAGGAATAAGTCTGGCTGTCACCCCAGCCTTTTCTATTTGATATCCTTGCCTGCAAGTCAGAACTGAAAAGCAGCAATCAGCGCCTACCACAGAAACACACAAAGCAAGTTTGCTCTTGTTACTCAGGACCATTAGCTAATCTGAGCACTGACTTCAACTTTGCAGATCGACAGAGCCCGGAGATAGAGTCTGCAGTGCAGGCTTCTCATCTTCTAGAGAAGAAATTAGTTCTCTATAGTCTTGCAACTGTCTGGGAGGGCTTCCAGCTGCTCTTGCTATGAAAAAGCAACGGGCTCGGACATGGCAGACAGGCAGACAAACAGCAGAGGAAACAGTGTCCTTTGGAAAACAGGGTAAGCAAAAATTTCTCAGCTAAAAGTCACACGACAGGGAGAACCATTGTCCCATGAACAGTGAGCAAGAAAGGCTTGGGTGTGGGGTTACTCTCAGGTGGCTTCTCCTTGGTCACATTTCTTGGTGACAGGTCTAGGTGAGAAAATCCTGCAGAGCGACACCAGACCAGCATCACGGAGAGGGGGCTCAGGGGTTTAGATGTGCACAGTGTTTGTTGAGTGAATGAATGATGGCGAGTGCTCCAAACTCCTGAGCTCCCACCCTGAGGCGCTGTGAGAGAGTGGAGGAATTTCCTTACTTTACCTGAGACAGGGCATTTACTTCTACTCCTGCCTTATGCCCCAAATAACAACCATTGGTTCCTTCTGACATCACCTGGGATTATTAACCTGAGCCGCAGAGACAGCAAATTTCTGACAACATCCTGGGAGTTTTACGGTAACGGATACCCTCACAGGGAATTTATCTGCAACTCCCGCTCAGAAATACAATTATGACGCACACTGAAGAGGACCAAGGAGAACGCGCTTTTCACACGGACAGGAGCCCACAGGGCTGAGTCTATAGAAGGCCTGATGCTATGACAGCTGCCCTGAGTTCAAAGCCCCCGTGGGTGGGTTGGGGGTGGGACAGGGACCCGAGTCAGAGCGCGGCCCACTGAGGCCTACAGAGGGAGCTGGCACCTTCAGAGGGCGCTGTGACAAGTTCACAGAAAGCTCTCCTGAGGCTTCAAGCCAATTTAAGTCTCTTTCTTCAACCTGGAGTGTTTTCTTCTAACATTAAAAGACTAAGAGTCTGTGACTTAGAAGAAAGCTCTCTCTCTAGGGTTTCCACACTGGACATTTTCAGTCAAACAAAGAGATGCCCAGGGACATGAGAGCCCAACTTTCCCCGTACCAGCCAGCCCAGACTTGACCAGAAATCAAAGCCTGCAAGGCTACCACCAGCTCAAACATAGCGGATTTGAGCAGCTGCTTTCTTTGGAGTGAATAATTAGGATTTTAATGTAAATATTTAAACCAGGATTACAATTCTGTGGGATATATTTTAAAAAATGAAACAAAATTAATTAAAAATTTCTGCTTTTATTTTAAGGAGTCTCAGAGTAGAACTTAAAGTCACCATTTTGGAGATTACTGATTGCGTAGATCCCTATATATCATGTGCCGAACTGCAATGTTGTTTGCTCTTCCAGTGTTTTGGAAAATGAAAAATAAAATCTGATTTTTAGCACAATAAATACATCTTATTAAAATTTTTCTTGATTGGTTCTGGATTGAAATTATTTCCGTAAAACTTCTTTAACATTTGGTTGTTTTATCTGACTGGCCCCTAAGTGAGTACATCCTTTCCTGTCCACGTTCCATGTCTATCAATGCCAAAGCAAATTTGCATTCCTTGGCTTCTTACCTTTGCACACTTGGCACACTTGGCACACGTCTTCCTTTGCACACTTTCTGAATCCATTAAAGGAACATCAAGAATGTAAAAACCATCCACAAAATAATGGCTTCTGCTCTAGCTAAGTTTCTTTGAATTCGCTCTTATCTTTATTTCCAGGAGAAGAAAAATATCATTGAAAGTGGCACAAATACCTCCTAGGCCCTGTGACCTGCTGAGGCCCTAACACTGATTCCGCCCAGAGCAGGCCGGGAAGAGTTGACTCCATGACTGGCGTGTTTAGAGAAGCGAGTCTGGCTGAAGCCTACGTGCCGAGGTCCGAGTACCTCGCACCCAAATTCCGTTCCCACAACTAAAACCTTCAGACTAGAAGGACAACGTTCTAATTACTATCATATATCTTGTCTCTTCTGTTCCTAATTTGAGAATGCTTCGTCTTGTCCTTTAGGAGCCTTGTTTACATTAATTCCCATAGAAACCATGCGTCACCTTTAGCCCAGTTGATTGCCAATAAAAATCAATGCCTGGGACTCAGCACCTTTGTCGGTTGCACCGGCATTTGTTGTCCTGGCCCCCACTTTCTCTCTCTTAGTTCTGTCTCTCAGTGTATTTTTTTCTCAGGCCTGCATCGCACCCTGGGCAGGTGGGGACTGCAACCTGACTGCACGGGTCTCCAGCAGTAATCCATCCTCCAGACTGGGCTGCCTCTGGAGTGTAACTGGGCCAGAACCCCGCACACATGTGGCCACCTTCCTCCAGGGTCCATGTGGCATCACCAGACCTCCTGGATTTTTCTGAGGCCCCCAGTGATCTGGGGAGGTCACCTCGCTGCACTGTGCCTGCCCCACCATGCCTCCCAGCATCGCGCCCATGCTCACCTGGTCACCATGTCCTTGGGACCCGCAGTGACAGTGCAGACGCCGTCCTCGCAGTGCTTGCCCACCAGGCTGTGGGCGTGCAGGCGGACGTTCTTCCCGTTTGTGACCAGCTGAACAATGACTTTGGCAGGGCCCACATAGTTGCAGATCTATACAAGGATCACATTTCAAAAGTTAGCGTATCTGACTCTTTGCAACAAAGACAAGCATATACGGTAAGTCAGCAAGCATAAAGCAACCCAGGGCAACAAGAGCAAAGCAGGAGCCATCACAATCCTGGACCTGAAGTTATATTACAAAGCTCCAGGGATAAAAACAGCATGAAACTGGCCCAAAAACAGATTAGAAGCTCAAGAGAGCATAAGAGGATGTAGACACGACCCTAAGCACAGTCAACTATTTGATCTTGAACAAAGGATCCAAAGACACACACAAGAAGAAAGACAGCTCCTGCTGGGAAAACTGGCTATCCACATGCAGAAGAGCAAAGACAGACCCACGTACCTCACCATACACTAAACTAAAACCAAGAGAAGTCAAAGAACTAAGTGGTAACACAGAAACACTTAACCTACTGGAAGACAAGACAGGTAAAACTCCTGAAATCATAGATCACAGGCAAGGACAAACCGCAGTTGCATAGCAAATGGTTCTGAGAATTAACAAATGGGATCATATGAAATTTTAAAGTTTCTACAGAACAAATGATACAACCAACAGAACAAAAAGAAAACCTACAGAATGAGACAGAGGACTCATATCTAGAATATACAAAGAATTTAAAAAAAATCTGACCTCCTAAAATAAAACACCCAATTAAAAAATGGGCACTTGAAATAAACAGACATTTCACAGAAGGAGTACCAACAGCCAATAAGTACACGAAAAAATGTCCAACATTGCTGGCCACTAGAGAAATCCAAATTAAAACAACACTGAGATGCCTTTTTACCTCAGAAAGAATGTCCACCATCAAGAAATCAAATAATGTGGGGATTTAGCTCAGTGGTGCCATGCTTGTCTCGAAAGCACAAGATCCTGAGTTTGGTCCCCGGTAACAGAAAAAAAAAGTCCAATAATAACAAATGCCAGAGAGGCAGGTGGGAAAAAGGACCCTTCTGCATTGTTGGTGGGAATGTAAATGTACAATCACTATGGTAATCAGTGTGGCTATTTCTCAAAAAATTGAAACTAGAAATTCTATTTGACCCAGCTATTTCCCTTCTAGGTATCTTCTTGAAAGAGTTAAAGACATCAGATCACAGTGATCCACACATACCCATATTCATAGCAGCATAAATCCTTGAAGTGCCCTGTATGTCCATCAACAGATGAATAAACAAAAAAAAGTGGTATTTATACACAATAAAGTACTATTCTGCCATAAAGGAAGATAAAACTTGAGTCATGTGTAGGAAATTGAATGTACCTTGAGACCACAATGTTACATGAAAGAAATCAAATACACAAACTCAAATATTGCATGGTTGTTCTTATATAAGAAACTCAAAGTATAAATAAAGAGCAAAATATAAGATAGATAATGGGAAGTAGGGAGAGAGACCTTTCTCGAATGAGAAGGGGATCAAGAGATGGGGTGGGGCAGGGAATGGAGGAACGCGCAGGAGAAAAGGAATTAAGATGTGTTGTGATGTGTTGTGTACATGCACCAACCCCACACAAGGAGTGTGAACATTATGTTCTGCAAGCATGGACTAATAGAAACAATCAACAACAAAAAACCCCACAAGAAGACCACTCCAAAAGCCAAATGAAGAACCACACAGAAGGAAAAAAAAAGTATGATACCAAGTCACACAAAGCCATGCTCATACATGGGGGTCAAACCCAGGATGACAGAGACTCGGGTGCTAGTGGCCGCTGTCCTAGTGGCGAGAGGAGTTCTCCAGGAAGCGGCTGCCTAAAGCACAGACGTCCCCGACGCTGGGCCAGCACATCTCAGAGGAGGCTGTGTGGTCAGAGGTGTCCCCTCCTGCCGACCCAGCTGTGGTTTCCTCTGTACCCTCCTTGCAAGTCTGGCTGCAGGATCTGGGTGGGGACTCAGGGGTACAGGGGCTGGGGACCCAAGGGCTTCGAGAGCACAACAGCTGGGGGAGAACCCTGCACCCTAACCCTGCCGGGGGCCCAGGCAGCGCAGGACCTGGCCCTGAAGGCCGGCCTCGGCACTCGGGCCCACGATGCGGCCCTGTCCTGTCCCCTGTCCTCTCACCGCAAGCGCTGCTGGTGAAGTTCCATGTGCTCAGAAGGGGAAGTCACGGGAAGTCGCTGCATCTTCTGACCACAAACCCTTGGCCCTCACAGCAGTTTAGTTCTCCAGCTCTTGTTTTATAAAAATCAGATTTTTCATGTAAGGTAATTTTTATTTGCATGGCCTTAAAATGATGGTTACAGCAATAAAAAGGAAACAGCAAGAGCCTGGATACCCTTTCGCCTCCAGGTGGTCATCCACTCTCCTACCAGCCCACGGATTCCTTCCTCAAGAGCCTCAGTTCTAAAGTCAGCACTAACAGAAACACACACACAAACAAACACAGCAGTGGCCTTATTTTTACCCCCGGAATCCTAGTAAGTCAGAAACATGCAGTATATCTGAGTCATTTGTAGGAAAACAGATGGATCTTGAGACCCCAATGCTAAGTGAAACTGGATGCAGAAGGTCCAGTATCTTGTGGTTTCTCTTGCCTGAGGAACTCAAAGGACAATTTTAAGAGCAAAGTAAGAGATTTTAAGAAACAGGAAGGTGGAGATGGGGAGGAGAAGTCAAAGGGATCAAGAAGTGTTGTATGTGCCAGTTCCCCAAGATGAACAGCATTGTTAGGCATCACAAACACACTGACTGTTAGAAAAAGACACAGTAAGTTCAGCTGCATGGCTGGGAATGTGCTGTCTCTAAAGTTGCCCGACACAGCTGAGGAAGAACCTCCGCTTGCTGCGGCTGCTCTTCGCCACCAGACCCATTCTCGAAGCTGGCTTTGCACTCCAGGGAGGCAGGGCGGGAGGGTTTTGTTCCCAACCCCCTGTGGTGGCCAGAGGTTAAGGACTGGTGGCTGAGGCTGATGGAGAAAGCGCCCCCTGAGCAGAGGACAGGCTCTCCTGGGCCCCCAGCCTTGTTCGGGCCGAGGCACAGGTCTCCTCTGAGCCTCCTACTCCCTGCTGAGGGTGAATGCGCCGTGGACATCTCCTCTCCCCAGAGCATCACGAGAGAACTTAATCCATGATGCTCGGTGGAGCCCAGGCCTCTGGGGTGGTCAGGCTCACAGAAGCTGTGAGGCTGGGCCCAATCCACAGGGCTGCCGCTCTGTAGGAAGAGGGGGTGGCCCGAGCTGGGGTGTTCTGTCTTGCCCGGGGCGCTCTCTGCCATGCCAGGGCTCTGAGGAGTCCCATTGGGAAGCAGGACCTCAGCACAGGCAGCTGCCCAATTTGGAACGGCTCGGCCTTCTGAACCGCGGTTCAATCCAACCTTCACTCTGTCCAAGTTTTTCAGTCTGCAGTGCTGGGCTATGGCCACAGAAAGCAGACTAAGACGTGCCCCTTCCCACGGAGCAAGCTCACCACCAAGCGCGTTTCAGAAGACACCTGAGTTTGAAGACCCCAGAGCACAAACCAAGACCTCCCAGGCAGAGAGCATCCAGCCCCGGCCCGGAGCTGACCCAGAACTCAGCATGTCCCCTCCAGGCCAGGCAGGATGCCTCTGCCACAGTGCAGCACAGGCGGCGCCCAGGCCTGGGTCTGTCCCCATGGCGACCAACCATTGCCTTCCATGCTCCCAGGTGGCGGTGGATCATTGCAGTACTACGTTGGCATCCAAGCAAGGGAAGGGCACTGAATAAGCCCAGCACCTGGACATTTTCAGTGATGGGGGTGCAGGAGTGCAGAAGGGGCTTGAGCTCCCGGCAGCAGGCTCTCTACCAGCAGGATCGCAATGCAGCCCTTGTCACCTGCTGTCACCTGTCCCGGGGCCTAGGGAATAGATCCCTGCAGCCACAGCAGAGGAAAGAGGCAGGCAGAGCTCCCTAAAGCGCTTCGTGCTGTTCTGCTCTCACTCCATGGTGGCTGAAGCACAGGACCCAGAGATCCACCTGCCCCGAGTGCTGCCTGATGCAGCTGAGTCCAAGCAGCCCAACACCACCCTGGTCACGAACCACTGGGCTTTGTGGACTCTCCGCAGTCCTGACTGAAAGACCAAAGCTCCAGGGTGGGACAGATGCAAACGACACGGTTTGCAACTTAACGAGGCACGTGAGGAGCCATGGCGTCATCCGTGCTGACAGAGGGCACTGTCAACCAGTCCAAGAACTCACGCGGTCTACGGGGAGTTGAATTCTTTTTATCCAGCCTCCCTTTTACTTCTTTGACCAGTGCTCCCCTTGAAGATTAAGTTTGTAGAGAGCAAATGTATCTGTTAGAATGGTTTTTGTGGAGCCAGGCATGGTAGCACATGCCTATGCACCCAGCAAATTAGGAGTGAGGCAGGAGGATCCCAAGCTCTAAGCCAGTCTGGGTAACTATTGAGACTCTGTCTCAAAAAGAAAATAAAAACAAAAAGGACGGGATGTAGCTGAGTGGCCTCCAGGTTTGATCCCCATTACCAAAGAGAGGGAGAGGGAGTGAGAGAGAGAGGGAGAGGGAGGCTTTTCTGTAAGAGTCTGAATGGGGCAGACTCCTAACACTCCCAGTGTAGACACAAGTCCAGCTTGGACCTCAGCCAACACCAAGTCATCAGCTCCCAGGAACACGGGAGCCGACATCAGGGGCAGGCGCCTGTCCTTGTCTGTCAGTGGAAGTCACAGCGGCTCCAGGGCGCGAGGTTGCCCACCTGTGCAAGCGCTGACCACCGTCTGCTTCAGTCCGGCCGGGTCCTGTTCCCTCCAGGGATCGAGCCACAGAGCAATTACCCAGAGATGATTTTTCAAACACCCCGTTCACAGCGGGCGGGGTCCTCCTATTGCTCCAGAGTGCGGTGAAGGACTGGGCTCTGTCACTTTTCGCATAACATCCGTGTCCCTGCAGGAACAGTGGCATTCTTGGCTTCCTGGTGACACCCGCACTTTCATAGGCCTGGGGATTTAGCTCAGTGGTTCCACCCCTTGCCTCACAAGTGCGAGGTCCCGAGTTCTATCCGTGGTAC